CCCACATAAGTATTCCTTTTCAAATTTGCACTAGCTTAACCCATAACTAAAATGACAACTGCAGTCAAACTAGAACAAGTTTCACCAGGCTAATTATTTAGGCATTTTTAGAAATATTAATCTCTTTTACTAATCAGCTTTGTTTGCTGATTGTGGTGATGTAACTAGTCCGCCCTGCCTTTGATTATAACATGCTGTTTTGGCAATCCAAAACAATCCAAGGACTAATAAAGCTGTAGTGGATTCATGTTTAATACGTTACAAAGAGTACTGAGGAGCAAGTTCCTTAATCAAAGTTGTAAGACAATTAACCATTGTACCTCTGTATGTTTCAACTCCTAATTCCGCTGCCCACTGGACTTTGCTGTGACCTAATGTGCATGAAGCTGGTGTGAGGACAGAAGTTATTCTGCGCTACCAAATGCAGAGCTCAGACGCTGCTGCAGAGTTGACATGCCATGTCTCTTGAACTTCACAACTATGTAGAAAACCCCACCAGATTACTTAACTTATTATACCAAAAATGCACTGCTGTCCTCCAAGAGTTTTGCCTACTGTTTTACATTCTGCTCTACTACTCACACCAATGAAGAAGTTAGATCAAAATTAATATGGTGTAAAATTAAAAATAAACCCTAGACAGCTTAGAGTTTCTCATAAGTGTTTTATTAAGACCTTTGAGGAATTTTCAGTGCGTGAAGTACTCAGATAGGTAGCCTCTTTCACTCATTTTGGTAGCCACCATTAGTAGCTGCCATGAAGTCTACATGTCTTTGGGGAAGCAGGTAAAATGCAAGAATAAAGAAAGGTAATGTAGTAAGAGCTACTAACATAACTCATTGTCAAAGACTATACTATGCCTTAGAAGTGTTATAATTTTCCACAGATCTTTCAAGATATTTTCATTCCTCAATGAAGAAAAACAATGGTGTTTGAACACTCATTATGATTCTAAGACAGTAAATCAAAAGCTGTTCTAACTAGAAATCATCCAGTAATGCACRCATGTTCTAAAACAATCAACAAAATGCACTTGAAAAGAGTGGCTTCAGCTCACAAAAACAAGGTCARAAAGCACTGGGAAAGGATTAAGAGAAAAACACTTTCTCGGTACTATTACATAGACAAAAGAAAAGGAGTTTTGTGGGATTTTTAAGAAATTTTCTGTATTTCTGTTCTGCTTATTTCCTCACCTACCATCAAAAATCTTGCGAGGTAGCATGCAATTGTTTCATCATAACCACTTGCTTCCACCACAACCAAGCTCTTTCTTCCTAGGACTATTCAGCCAGAGAGATGGCAAACCGCCTGTACTACCTTTAAATTAAATAAAGTATTAATTACCATTATTAAAGGAATCTTTGCTGCTTTTGCAGGAAAAAGACATCTGCTGGTACGAACCAGTGGATTTCCACAGTGCGCTAGTTAATGCTGGCTGACAAGAAGTGCCCCATTTTGAGGTCCATCTGATTTTCACTAGTCCTTGCTAAATCAGAATTTGAGATATTCATCCCATACACACCATCCTCATAAATGAGAGAAGAATCTGATCTGTTGAGACTGCTTAGAGACATACACACTACAGCTTCTTTGAAGTAGAATGCCTTTTCACTATGTAAGCTGCCCAACTGATTATGTCCCATTATCGGCAGAAGGGGAGAARAAAAAAAMCAACAAAAAACCAAAACAGAGAATCTAATTTTCACCTTTGTCAAGTACCTGAATCAAAGAATCACAGAATATATCAAGTTGGAAGGGACTCAGAAGAATCATGAAGTCTAACTCTCCGCTCCTCACTGTGTGAAACTAGAGTGTATGAGTATGAGCATCATCCTGAAGAGTCCCCGTACCAGGATGCTCAAAATTAACTGTCAGACAGAATAGGGATTCATAGCAAACAGTCACCTAATTTGCCAGAAGTTAACCTCAAAACGCGTTGAATGTGACGAATGCACAGAAATAAACAGCAATAACCCTGCAGATTTGGTCTTAGCTCACCTCAAACCAAGCAAGGACTGCAAAGTAACAGGTCACAAAGAACTGCTAATTGGGATGCACTGAGTTCTGCTGACTGCTTTCAGGGGGTTAATATTTTGCCTTATGGCTCAACAAGGTACCACTTCCCATATGTAAACCTGTGCACTCTGTAATCCAAAAATAACACTGTACCTCACGTAGACAGGAGATCACAGAGAACTGGGCTGCAGCAGTCAAAGTGAGGATGGCAAACAGCTTTAGCAAGCAAGTCATGGCTCTCAAAGGCTTCAAATAGAACTCCTGCAAACTCTTTACAGGTGTTTATCAAGGCCAATCTCACAAAAAAAAAAAAAAAAAAAAAAGCAGGAGTATTAGTCTGAGTTACTGCATTGTTTGGTTACACAAAACTGTCTAGGTGTAGTGTAAAAACATGGGGAATACTGGCTGACTGACAGTGACTCAACCAGTTCTGCTGCTGCAAGGAGTATGGCAGTGGAAACACAGGAGAAAAGACATCTTAAGGCCTGGATGGATCCAAAGCCACGTAGTCTACTGGAAACAAAAACATAAGTAGCCTTACGAATGAAATATTAGATTACAAAAACTACTACTATCTGACACTAAGCATTTAACTATTTTGCCTGCCTGTGTGATCCTGGTTATCCCTGTATCAGGCTATCATCCTACAACTTCCCCTCCTCAAAAGATTTCAGAAGTCATGTCCATAAAAGCTGATGGGCAACTTCAATTTTGGTCTTATCATCCACTTCTTAAGCACTGCCAAACAAGTCAAAACTGTAGCACTAGTATGCTATACTACTAGTATGCTATACTATGTAGTTTTACTAGTATGCTATACTAGTAAAAAGTGTMTCTGTTGTTTGGGATGGCAAGCATGTACTGGTGAAACATGTTCACACRGTGCTCACAAAAGCCGGATGAAAAGGGGGAGGTCAGAGGCCAATCCTTTCYACCTCATGCAAGTACAATCTTAGATACCAAATGGTCTCTGCCTGTTATGGGTGAGTGGCCAGCTGAAAAACTGGGGAGGTGATGGCCTGAAGAAAGGCTCTACAGATTTTCTTGTGAAAATGAGAACCTGGCAGGAAAAAAAAAAAAAAGCTGTTTGGGTCAGTGAGCTTTCCATATATGGAAAAGCCAGACAAAATGTTTTGATTTTTCAGGTGCTTTAGAGAACAGTAATGGAAATCAAGACTATGCCCACCAAGCAGGGATTAGAGATGAGGACCCACCCACCTGGCAGGTGAGCACCCAGAGCCACRTTGTATCCTTCACCCTCAACAAAAACTTAATCATTTTATGTATTAAACACTTAAGCARCTTCAGAACTACTTTAAATTGCACCTCTGAATGACCATCTCCAAGGAGTTATACTGTCAGGGAAGGAGCCACACATCAGCCTCTTCCCTAGGTGGCTACTTGTTTCAGGGATCAGGATAGCAGAGTCTGACATGTGGGGTTCACAAGGGCCTGGTGTTTGCTGCTCCTGAATGTGCCCRTTTCCTCACTGGAGAGAGTGGTGTGGTCCAAGAAAACAGACAGCAACCAAAAACATCACTAAGTGCTTTATATACTGTAACATTACAATAATTTACTTTTCCTACAAGATGCACAGACACAATGTGTCTTGCAAACACAGCAACAAGGCTGAATAAAACACAGATTCTCACATTTACAATTTCTGTCCTCTAGACTTAATAAACATCTGCCTAAGTTTGGGTTTTGTAGGGTATCCAGCTTAAAATCACAGAACGGTTGAGGTTGGTAAGGGYCTCTAGATGACATCTGGTCAAACCCCCCTGGTCGAGCAAGGCCACATAAAGAGAGCTGCCAAGGACTATGTCCAGCTGGCTTTTGAATATCTCCAAAGATGGAGACTTCACAACTTCCCTGGGCAAGCTGTGCCAGGRCTCCATCACCCTCACAAGAAAACAGAGTTTAATGATGTTCAAAAGGAATCTCCTGGGTTTCTGTTTGTGTCCATTGYCTCTGTTCTGTCACTGGGTGTCACTGGAAAGAACCTGGCTCCATCCCCTTTAGAACCTCCTTTTAGGCATTTACRTACATTAATAAGAACCCCCATTAATGAGAACCGGTTCTTCTCCAGGCTGAACAGCATCAGTCTTTCCTCACTGGAGAGACGCCCCTGTCTCTCAGAAGCGCTTCACCAGCCATCCATCCCCCAGTCTCTACCTTCTCTCCACCCCATAGCTCTATGGCTTTCTTGTACTGGAGACTCCAGGTGTGTCCAGAGCAGAGAGGAAGGATGCCCTCGCTTGACCTGCTAGCAATACTTTGCCTAATGCAACCCTGGAGACCAGCTGCCACCTTTGTAGAGGGGCACATTGTTTGTTCAACACCAGGACCTGCAGGTGCTTTTCAAGAATCACAGAATAAAGATCTTCAAGATCATTGAGTCCAACCTTTGACCCAACGCCATGATCACGTCAATGAAACCGCAGCACTAACTGACATGTCCAGTTGCTTTCTGAACACTTCCAGGAAAGATGACAGCACCAGCTCCCTGGGCAGCCTGTTACAGTGCCCAACCACCATTTCAGCAAAGAAATTCTTTCCAGTGTCCAACCTGAACCTTCCCTGTAGCAGCTTTAGGCCATTTCCTCTTGTCCTCTTACCAGCTGCCTGGAAAAAGAGGCAGACCCCCTTTTTGCTATAACCTCATTTCAGCTAGCTGTAAAGAGTCAAGCTGATTTTCAGTTGGTGATCCCAACATGGGGATCAACCCATGCATGGGGTTGCTCCTTCCCAGGGGTAGGACTTTGCACCTTCCCTGGTTAAACTCCATGAGATTCAAAGATAATGCTTGGATATGCCTGAATCTCAGCTTGTCACATGCTCACTCATTGCATTAACAACCAACAACATCCAGRCATCCCAGCCTATTTGTCAAGGCAGGTCTCCAGGAATCCAGGGATATAATTACAATGGGGAACCACACACCTCATAGCCCCCCGTGGGTGAAAACAGGCTGTTTTGCTGACCATGCTTCCAGTGCCACAGGAGTTTCTTCTGCATTTTCACACTGTCTCTTTCTCTCTCCACCATTTTCTGGCCCTCCTGGAGCCTCTCCAGGCTGTGCTGGTACTCCTGCAGCTGCAGCGCCAGTCCCTGCCGGCTCCTGTCCAGCAGCTCCTCCTCGCAGTCGCAGTCGCGCTCCCGCTGCTCCAGCCGGCCCTCCCTCGCCTCCTGCTCCCGCTGCCGCTGCTCGCATTCGCGCAGCCAGCGCTGCTGCTCCTGCTGAAACTGCTGCTTCAATTTGTGTATGTTGGCCAGTTCCACCCTTTGTTTTTCCAGATTCCGGTATTTTTCTTGTTCCAAAAGGGGGTTTAGCCGAGAACCATGGCCCCGACTGGTCTTCTCATTCTCTTGCAGCAGCAACCTGTGGAGCTCTTTGTGGCTGTCCTGGATAGCCAGTGCTGCCTAGACACGACAACAAAATCAGACACAAATGTTTAAATATCAGCATTAATCCATTTCTGTATTTTTACATAGAATCGTTATATAAAAATGCTTCATTTTTTTTGGGAAGGTTATTCTTCAAGTAACTAGAGAAAACACTGTGATCATGCCTTTACAAAGAGATATTTCTAAAAGCACTCAACTCTTYTAAGCACTTTTAACAGTGCTTCTGGTTTACACTCAGTATTATTATGGATGTTTATGTTACAGCTGTGCATATGCACTTCAATTACAGCTGGGGTCCTATTCTGTCACAGGATGTAAAGACACAGAGGAAAAATGATTTTTCATTGTTAAAGAGGGCAGCGAAACACTGGGAATGCCACACTCACTCAAATTTTCTTAACACAGCTGTGCCTTTTACACAGAAAACTGTACTGTTTCCAGCAGAGCTCACTCCTACCTTAAGACTCTTCTTGCTAACCTGCAACATTGCAGTCAGCTAACATCAGTCCTACAGGCACCTGCCACCACAGCCACRCCACCAGGACCGTACCACTACACACACCTGACTGAAGTGTCACTGCAAGCATAAACCTGCAGTACAGTAATGATTTTAGGTCTGATATTCCTATTTTACAGCTGAGAGCTCTCTAGTACATTCTTCACAAGAATGTTGTAACTTTGCATTAAAGATTGTGACATTCCCCAATAACACAAAAACAAATAGCTGGCATTAAGAAGAAAGAAAAGCAAGAAAACCCTAGATTTGCTGAGGCACTAACTGCACTGCCTATGTTCGAAAGCTGACATGGGAATTTATTTCAGCAAATATTCCCATAGAATTCACATAGTCCCATTGCCCCGTGCTATCTACTCCAGAAAGTTTTTTACTTCATGCAGCGTGCAATCCCCACTTTCCTTGCTCTTCCTCTGGTATTGGTTCAGTTCCAGTGCTTTGTAAAGAGGATGAGGAGAAGATCCTCTGCTTTTTTCTCTACACCTGATTCCCCATTCATGGTCTGAACAATTAAGGCTGTCTCTCCATTACAGTCCCTATCTSTTTTTCAATTGCTAAAAAATTTTGCCTGCATTTTTATTTTACTTTTGCACTGCTTCAATCGACTTAACTTCTAAGACCAATGTTTCCAAAATTATTATGAAATATTCTTATGTTTATAGGGTCTAAAAGTCATATACACTCAAAAAAAAAATTAAAATAGACTTACGAATCAGAAGCTCAAAAGGAAAAAGTAAGTTAAGATATTCAAACTTAGCATAAAAGAGTCAAACACTTCAGACTAAGGCCCTACAGAACACAAAAAGTAATTGAGATTTAAGCATCTAAACTGGATTGGGTTTGCTACCTGGTGGCAAAGTTACTGCATACTACTAGCCAGGAGAACAGTCTAATCAAAATACTAAATTTTCCATTTTTTTAAAGTATAATTTCAGAAATCTGTATGTGGAATAACATCAGTTCAATTAGAGCCATCATTTTACTTTCCTGCTRGGTTTTTGGATGTACAAACATCCTTTTTTGGCAGGAGGGACTGATCTCTAAGCAAGTTAGCATTATTCAGTTTCTGGAAGAAAACAGCCACTGATGTAGAATAAAAATATATTCTGTGGCAACAGTCAGTAGAAATCAGTATTCACTAATGTAATATCTAAAAGCAGGGCAACATGAAAACAAACCTTTTAAAGTAAATTATTAGGACAAATTAATTACTCTATGAAGTTAGTAGTGGAGTAGTCACCTGCATGCTGTATAAGAGACGGGTTAAGTTCTGGATTGCTTGTACAATCTAGAAAATAAAAGAGAAGGATTTTCAAAGGTTTGACCACTGTTRACTAAATAGTTACTACATTCTGTCTGAGCTTTAAATAAACTCACCTCTGTCCCTGTAGATCCTGAAAAATTCATACTTCCTTCCTAAAATAAACACATGTAGCTTTAAAAAGTTGCTTTAAATTTTAAAATTGTGTAATCTAGGTAATTTTTAAAAAAATCTAGTAGAAACGTAGTGCTAGGAAATGCATACTGAGTCAAACCTTTATGTGGGTATGTGAAAAAAGACAGAAGCAGCAATCTATGAAGACCAATAATTCATCAAYACTGGAGTTTCTGAGGAAAATTACTAGAGGTTCTAAGCATAACTGTACCAACAAAACAGTTTCATCCACAATTTTAATCGCTTGTGCCTAACGCTACACAGAAAAGACATTTCCATTCATTCTTTGTTTACCTCACAGTTTTGAAATACAGTAACTAGACTTCTGTATATACAGCACAATGGGCTTAGATTACTTACAATAGGATGAAACAGCATAAGACAGCTCAAAAATAGAGATATTAATGTACTAAGAAACTAGCAAGAAGTCATGTCAGTCAATTACAAAAAATACCTTAGATGCTCTGCAASATGCTGTGCCCAATATGCTCTATAAAATGCTCCAGCATGGTCACTACTGTCCTCTGCAGCAAGGCAGAGCCACTTCACATTTTCCATCCTACTCCCTTTTCCTATAAAGTTTTCTAAATTTACAGGGTGAAGCTACCCATAATCCCTTCAGCATGAAGAACAGCTCCTCTGAGGAAGATAAGATGGAATGGTGGGGACTGTTTCAAACTCAATCCCTTCTGAGACTATACTGAAAATACTTCCTGTATGGTTTTTCGTTTCTTTTCTTTTCTTTTCTTTCCTTTTTTTTCTTTTTCAGAGAAGCAGAGGAGAGTTTGGGGAATATTTGTTTTCTCTCTGATTCTTTTAAGTTCTCTACTGAGTCTCATTTTCCACCAAAGAGAGCAAAGCATCTGCTACATTTAGAAGCAATAACTGAAATTGAAAATGAGAAAGACCAGCCCCCCAAACAGCCCAACACAGACACCCATGGGAGAAAGGGAGCACCAGATGCATAATTTCCTCTGCTACTCTTTCTCTCATTATCTCTCTTCAGTATTTCCTTTCATTCACCCTCCCCATCTTYACCTCCTCCTCTTCACTGCAGCCACAAGCCACGTATAAGCTCAGCTCTGCTGTGAGAAGCAGAGGATTTTGCACAGATGTCTCTGTGCAGCACAAGGATGGACACAATATAGTTCTGCTTTCCCTTAGCTGGATGGTGAGCAGTGAGTAAGGAGCAGCACAGGGTAAAGAAGGAGAGAAAGACGGTGATGCTGGAAGGCTCAGGAAGAGAGAGTGTACAAAGGAGATCCTAYATACTGAACAAGAGTACAGTTTCTTTCAGGGTTTTAAGCCTTTTTTTAATTTGAAAAAGGATGTGCACAGGGAGGAGGTTTATCTGGCATTGGCTTGACCAAGGAGTTGAAAGGGGCCAGCCCCAGCGCCCATGGTCCCCTCACTGCARCAGCATTGAGCGCTGGGAGAGGAGGCTGAGGCAGGTTTAGCTGAGCTGGCACACCCCTGCAAGTCCAGCCAGGAGTGAAGCAATAATTCCAGGTGTTTAACTCTGCGGAAGGCCACCACCACCTCYCTGCCACTTTTCCCCAGCACCCTGGTTCTGAGCGATGAGCATGGTCAGATCCCAGGGCAGGCTGCGCTGCGCTTCAGGCAGCACCGACAGAGGTACAACTACAAGGATGGGCAGGAGAGACAGGATGAGGATCCCCTCTCAGAGCGGCCCCCTTGGGACCCCTCATGCTGCAGGGGCAATGCTCTCCCTTTCCCCGTCTGGTCAGCACCTAACCTCCGAGCTGGGAGCTCCTGCTCCACCCGTCCAGTGCCCGCTGGGCGGCTAGCTGGGCTGAGCTAKCTGGGCTAGCTGGGCTGAGCGCTCCACAACCCCGGGATTACACATCCACCTCCCTGCTAAACCCTTGCCATGCCTCTTTTCTTTGCTCATTCTGCCACCTCCTGGTAAGCCTGATTCCGACACAGTATCAGAAGATGCGCTACATGCCTTGCCCACATAATAGACCATAAATAATAGGATAATGACTTAGGGTGGAAGARTTGGGTGCAGGTCCCTTCAGCTTTCCGAGCAGGCAGCGCTTCGAAGTTACAGAGCTTGCCCAAGGCATTATCCAGTCAAATTCAGGAAACCTCCAAGGGTAAAGACCCCTACAGCCTCTCTGGACAAACAGTCCTCCTTGCTCATCCCTGCACTGATTTTTTTTTCCCCTTGTATTACACTCAGAACTCCCCTTGCTTCAACTTGTAATTTTCAACATTCAGCTTTTTGTTGTGCATTTCTGAGAAAAGCTTGGCTCTCTCTTCTCTATAACCCCAAYAGCAAAGCTGTCATGGGGAGCTACTGAAACTTTTAATAGGCTGTATCTGAGCCTCTCTGTCCTCTCTAGGTTGTTCCATTTCTTTTCACCTAGTTTCCCTGTTCACTGACTTTGACTTTTGTTTTCAACCTACTTTTTCCACTTGCATTCTTCCTCCTACTCCCTTCTAACACAGCAGTCTGGTTAAGTAAGATGATCTCGAGCTAAACGTAAGGCAAGGTTATAGGGAGATTAGTGTATTAGCAACAGTATTCCCGATACAGAAAACACACAAACAACCCCAAGGTTTCAGGTACCCAAGCACTCTTTCAGACCTGATGCAAAGACAATATGTTAATGYTAATTAACTCCTTTTCTAGCAGTTTTATGTCCATTTCAAGTTATGTATCTCATACTCTTGTCTCTCCCCTTTTTTCCTTTTGTGATTCTTATTCTCCACATATGAACTATACTATTACAGTTCACTTTATTTCCACACAGTAGTTCACATTGCTTACTCCAACACTCTGCTGCTACATAAAATTTGTCATTCCTAATTTTGTCCAGAACTGATTTCTGGTTCCGCTTTTTTCTCCAGATTTGTTTATCAGCTACAGGACTTTGCAAAATGGASAGTTTCCCTTCTATTCTCCAGTTGCCTCATTTTAATTAAATATTCTGAAGCAAGCTGGTGTAAAACATCCATCCTATTTTACGTGCTTGCTCTCAGGACAAAGTTCTTCCAACATGTATGTCTTCCTTGCATTAGCTGAGGACTCTGCAGGAGACTTTCATCATCCTGTGACTAGGAGAAGGGAGTAGAGAGAATACTRATGTCAGCCCCATAGGCAGGCATCTATGGGATGATGACAGCAGAGAACCAGGCWCATAAGTGGCCCATACGAGTGGTTTGAAAACACTGTCCATTGTTACAACTCACTGACCTTAAGCCTTGCAAGAAAATTGTTCTGTGCTTGGATTGTTCATGACTGCTTTTTAAAAATTTATTATTAATTGCAGTGGTCTCTATTAAACTGAATTACCTGGATCTGAGTAAAATACACCATAAAAATTTGGACAGCATGTACATGCACAGTGCTCAGGTTACTGTGTGCAATGMAGAAAGAAAAACTGGTTACAATACCTTATCCTCAAGACTGGCACCTGCCATTTCCTCTTCAACACTGAAATCAATTTCTGATGACTCTTCAACTTCTTTTCTTTCTGCATCTAACAAATAAAGCCCCAAGAAAATGCAAAACAGAAAGCTATCAAAGCATATCATGACCAGAAAAACAGTGAGCATATTTTTTACAGCTACTCAGGATGCTGAGAAAGTGATTTTTATAATTTGGTGTTACATAATGGATTCTAATGTGGGGAAAAACAAATTTGGAAGCCAGGATGGCACACATACACAATCCAGTTTCTCTACCTTAMAAATTAGCACTATTTCAGTTATGAAAGTTTGGAGGCGACTGTAGCCATAACACTAAAAATGTTCTCTGGCAATTTTTTTTTACATTATTTGAAATTTTGTTGTGAGAAATAAATGCTGCCATTTACAGCTGAAATTACTGGAAAATCAATCTTGGTTTTCAAGCCTCCTGACAAAAAGGGAAATGGCCTGTATTGCAGTATAGACTTGCTGTGGAGCTGAACAACAATGACAAGAAAGGGTACTTTCAACTAAGTTATACAACAATTTACACTACCTGAGCAYTTGCCCAAAGACAACTTTTATTATGCTATTTTTTATTGATTCTGTTCTAGACCAAGGAGGCTTTCCAAAAAACCAATCCAGTATCAATTATTTTAGCACTCTGAATATGTAAAAGCATTAAATTTTACTCACCACCTGGAACAGATTCCAAGATTTCATTGGCAGTGAATCCATGCTTCGCACTTAATTCCTCAGTACTTTCCTCTGGTGATCTGTCTGTTTCACTCMCTTGTGATGCTGTTACAGCGACATGGAGACTTTCAACTAAAGAGGAAAACATGCAGAATTACAGAAGCCACATAAATAGCTCCAGAGTGCAAAAAGAGTGACACAGAACCATRGATAATTTTGCTTGTAAGGGATTTTCAGAGGTCATCTAGTCCTATACTCTACTCAAAGCTTATCTAAGCTGTGTTGCTCAGAGTTTTGCACAYACAAGCCTTTAGTTCCTCCAAAGAYGGAGACTACAAAGTCTCCCTGAGCAATGTGTTCCAGTTTTTTTAACACCCTCATGACATATAATTTTAAATTTCAGTTAACTGAAATTGCCCATGTTCTGCCACAAGACTCTTGTCATTCGTCATTGTGCTCTTTTACCATCATGTGCCTCGGCKAAAAATCTGGTTTCTCTATATCCTACCATTAAGCAGCTGTGGACAACAATGAGATCCCACTAACCCAACCATCTCAGCTTATCTTCAGATGTCATGTCCTCCAGCTCTCTAATTATCCTGGTCACTTTCACTGGATTTGTTCTATTTTGTCAATGTCTCTCTACATTAATAAATAAGTTGAACACTGTTGTCTGGGGATACATCCCTAAGGTAATCCCCTCATAACATGATACCAGCTGGACATGGTGTGACTGACCCCTTCAGCCCAGCAGTCCAGCCTCTCTTCCACCCCGTAAAACAGATTACATCAAATCAGATGTAAGGATACTACAACCAGTGCACACAGTGTTGAAGGTCTGAGAGATGTCAAGGTAACTAATGTGCACTCTTCTCTCACCATAAAACCTGTCAGGTTAGTCAGACACAACTTGCCCTAATTAATCCATGGCAGCTGTTCCAAATTATCTTCCTGTCTTTCAGGTTCTTGGAAATGCCTTCTATGAGGGTTTGGTCTCTCAGCATCTGAGAGATGCTGGTGAGACTGACTATTTTTCAGTCCTCTGTATATTCTTTCTTGAAGAGCTCTGTGAGGTTTGCTTTTTTCAAGTCTTCAGGAACCTCTCCTGATCACTGTGACCTTTGAAAGTTGACAGAAAGCAGCCTCACAGTGATATTGGTCGGCTCCTTGAGCAGCCTTGGATTTATCCCATCTCATCTCATGGATTTGTGTATATCTAATTTGCTTAAGCACTCTGTCACTCTACTGTGTGCAATGCTTTATTCCTATAGTCTACTATTAACAGACTATATTCTACTAGTATTCTATCCTGGAAAATTATCCCCACCAACTGTCTGCAGTGTAAACAGCTGTAAGCTCCTACCGAGTGTTGTACAGTCCTGAAATTAAGAGCACCATCAACAACAGAATGAGCAAAAGTGAAWATTTAAGAAGTGGGCAGAATGAGATGTGTAATAAGTATAGGCTGCAATTTTAGCTATTTTCTGTTGCATCACTGACTTACAGTACTACCCTACACAAGTTTATACAATTTTATCAATAAAATCTTCCTTGACATTACAATGATGATGGAGACCAAGCTCTACTCTTTATAAGTTGAAATGTTGTTACTAGCACACAGCTCTCAATTTAGGTGATGCTAAAATCAGGACTCAGGACTCTTTTCAGCTTGTCAGGACTCTTTTTTCAGCTGAGTTTAGCAGAAGTTTAGCAGAAGTTCCAGCTAGGCAAGATGTCTAAAAATACCATTCCCTTCCTTCCTTCGCAGGACAGAACTGTAGATGGTGCAAGGTTATCAATTCCCTGTTAGACAGCAGGCAGAAAAAAAACAGGGCTCCTGCAGCAATTCTGGCAGGTGTTTCTTTGTAGAAACATGATTTGGTCTGGATATGATCTTACAGGACTCTGACACCCAAATCAGCCAAGGCAGGTGAAGGTCAGGGACCACACGCAATATCATAAAGCAACCATGACGTGCTTTTGAGAACTCTACTGCAARGACTGAACACTACACTCGTGCCTGTTTGCATTTGATGCTACACCATAAATATAGCCCTTACCTTACAATCTGGCAGGTACTGTCTCCTGTATCTGACAAGGACACACTTGACAGATTTCTCTTCTGTATCCTTCGACAATTTCTGACACTGCCACTTCATGGACTTGGCAGAATTGCAACACGAGGCATCATGGCTGCATTTTGTGATTTTAAAATAACTGCTCATGTGATGATCCACTCTTYCCATGCAAACTTACCTTCTCTGAGTGCTGCTGCCAGCAGTGAAGCAGCCTGTGGAGTTTCTCCAGAATCGGGTTTGATAAGCAGGTGAGGTTCTACGTGGACATCGTCAAACCCACACAAATTTCCCAGTTCGGCATAGATACGCAACTTTTCTTCTAAATAACTGCAGATTTGCTGGTCATGGTTACTCAGCGATTCTGTCAACCAGAATTGAACAGTGTAAAATAGAAAACTGTATTGACATTTTTTATCCTGCAGGGAAAGCATGTTCCGCATTCAGCTTTCTAATCTTTATGCTGCGTAGAAAGTGCTAATTCAAGTTAAGCCTTTTTTAAGGGATGAGAAACCAAAGTCATGGAAGTTCATCCCACAGTCTCTTCAAATGAAAGCTAACACACACCCTATGGCAGAGTCCAGGCTGAAGCCCTACCCTGATGAGATGGCCTTGGCTGCCCCCTCTGGCCCTCACTACTCCTGCTGCACTCTCAATAAAAAGTGAGTGCTACCTCCTGGAAAAGCACTTGGCGCAGGAGTGCTAATTCAGGGCTCAACTTCAAAGAACACCCTACTTTCAGCAGAGGATATCCTTCCCTGTAGCYCTCTACAGGACAGACATTGCTGCAATTTCTCACCTCACAGGAGTATAAGGATGTAGGGGTTAGATACAGGGGAACCAAGGAAGTAGAATTTATCTCTATTAGCTATATTTTCAGACAATAATAATAGCAGCAAAGGATGAAGTGCCATAAACAACCACAAAGCCACAGAACTTTGAAGATTCAAGGTATTTTCACAAACTCAGAACTACCTGGTCCTGATGCTAATCTGGAAAATTCAGTGTCTGGTGGTTTGTTTTTTTTTTAGTTACGGTAATGTAGCAAAAACATGAAAGTGTTTGGAAAAATCATGCTTCTCTTTCAATACGATCAAATCACCCCATCTGTCTCTGCTGTGACTTCCTGCCTAGTCACTCTGAACCCACCAGCCAGCATGGGTACAAGACTACTTCATCCTGAATTCTGAGGATGCCAGAACTCTCAGAGGGACAGGAAAGCTACCACACCTTGATATTTCTGTATTCTGTATGCCTTGGCCTCAGCAATACGTCTGTCTTCATCAGATTCACTCACTTTTACTTCTTCTTCTTCCTCTGGACAACTTCAAAGGTGAAAGACAAAGGTGGATAAAGCAAAATACACACATCATCTATTCATCTTCAATCCACTATTATGTTAACCATAAGCAGAACACAGCACCTTTTSCAAAGTCCGGAAGCACTCCATTTGTCTGCCTCTTTAAAAACATAAAGACTGAAGGATTCCTTTTTTATTCTAGTAAGGCTGCACTGTGCAGCAAGAGAGAGGTTGGCACACATGCAGGTTTGCTGTCCTAAGCAAAAACTTGGGCCCCATCAGAAGCAATGTTTTCCCCACCATTCTTAAGGAGCTGACAGCAAGGTAGCAGGAATGATTGGTGATTTTCTCAAAATGGTCAAATGGACACCTGCAGGACTCTGGAAGGCATGCAGTTTCAAAGAAAAAGATGAGGGAAATCTGYTACAATGTCTAGAGCAGAAAGGAACAGAAAGGGTCTGCTGATTCAGTGGGAAACCAGGAGGAATATTGGAAGTGTGGCAGAAGTGATGAAGAGGTTTTGGCAGCTTGAGCTCAGAGGAAACCCCAAACGCACAGATGGACCCAGTACAATGCAGAACAGAGAGCATGCTGCCATGTATATACAACCAYCCATCTGCTTTGGACTGACAGCAGTGTCCAAAATCCCTTTTTGCTCACCTTTCCACTGCCTCTTGAATATGCCTCATCCAGTTGTTACGCTCTTCTTTGGAGTTGGTATGAACCTCATACATCTCAGGCCCTGCAGATGATGCACTAATCAGAAACATGCCCCTTTCGTCGTTGGCTACTTCCCTCACTATGAGCCTCTGAAGGGAAATAACAGAAGGCTTCTGGTCCTGGAGCAAACAGTCAAAAGACACACGTAATAAATTACTTTCTTATAAAACACCACTCTAGAAACTCTAGAAAGAACATGATTTTTTCAATTAATTGGACTAATTCTGGTCCTGGTATAGTCAGAATACAGAAAGTTTTGATTAATAAGTCATCTTTTTAAACTACTTTAAAAATATATGTTATACTGTTAATAAACAAAAACAAGCACTAGATATGTGCTAAAAAGAAAATTTCAGAGGCTTAGTGATATCAAGACACAATATTCATATAATGTTTATATTTATAAATAGTTTGGGAACATCTTTCCATGACCTTTCACACCTTTCATGTGTGTTTACRACTACATTTTCAGTAATAATTATTCTTCTGTTAATTTTACAGAACCAAAAATTCAAATTTGTATTAGACAAGTGAAAGAGCTTCATTACTTCCCACATTTACAATCATGTAAGGTACAACACCAAACATATAATTTTGTTATTTTCATCCTAGTCCATAAGAAGTTTGGAAACATAATTTTCCGGTGTATTACAGTTCTGAACACGCTAGCAGGATTCTAGCAAAAAATATTRTGTGGGAAGGACCTAATAAAGACATAATTTTTGAGAAATATACAAACAAATGTACAATGTATGTATTCAAATATCTGATAATATACTCACAACAGCTGCAAAGATGTATTTTTGATCCTTTTCTTGTAAGAACAGTAGTACATCAGTTAGAAGCAGAGCTAAGGTGTCTTAAAATGAGAAAAGGAAAAGAATGTGTTTTAATTAAAATTAGTACAATTAGTGTTAATTTCTTGTTTTATCTTTATAAAAGGAGCTCTGATGAAGAAATATCTCACAGAATGCTGCAGTAAACTAAACAGGAAATACCTAAATTAGCCCATGGTCTGCATGAAGCACTTTCACATCCCTACTTTGTTTCTCCCAAGAAAGAGCACCATGCTGGAGCACTGGCCCAGGTGAAAGAAGAAATCCTTGCACCAAGGTCAGTACCACTTCCCTAAGACCTGGCAAAGACTATCTCACATGAATTTTGCTTTTTCTGTGCTGTAACATAAATTCACAGCACAGTATGARGTAAAAGCATTTCGGGAACAATGATGAACAGACAGCTTTGTAAAGTTGAGCAGCAAATACTAGTATGCTCCAAAAAAAACCAATTATTAATATGTAATTAACACCAACAATAAAATTCCGAGCTTCCTTGTAAAAATTATACTCCAGCCAAATGTGGCTTCAGAATTTCTTTTCTACTATGGGTGTCTTATTAACACTGAATTTTTAACGAGCTGCTTTTCATGGTGAATGCTGTGAGCAAYCAATACATACAAGTCAAAACACAATATTATTATAATAAATTGAAAAACAAAAAACCAGAAGGACAGGACTGGAAGAAGAAATGTAGATGGCATTGTATGTGAACTTGTCTTCTTATGCAGATCCACAAACCATGGCAACCTCTGGAACTGATCTTCCAGCAACTAGTGGGACATTTGCAACACCATTACCTCAGACATTCYTATTTGCAACACAGCACAATAAAGTATTCGTATTCTTTAATCAGTCTTTGAATGTTATTTGCAAATAAAAAGTTARAGGACTTTACTGCTCAGATGAAATACCTTTGAACCGACCAGTTGCTGTCTTCCAGTACACTAAACCTTCATGAAGAAGTATCCTCTCTTTCCTCATCAAGTCCTGTTTCCTAAAAACATGGCCATTTTTCAGTTTTGTATATGTTTTGTTTTCAGTTCTACAGAGAATTTCCAACAGCTTTTGCTTTTTCTCATACTCATTCACTTTCAAATCTACTGCTGCAATGACATCCTTAATTAGATGAAGGGCTTTGCACAGATCTTTATGTTCTTCTGTTCCTTCTGTATGAAACAAAAATAAACACCAGTCAGCATGTCCAAGAGAAGATATAATTCCTYATTTTATGGAAACAATCAACATGATGCAAAGCTTAAATTGATAAATTTGTTATTTTCAGTTCATCTGGCAACCATCTTATTAAAATTATTAGAAGTATACACCTTTGTTTGACTCACCTATTAAAAGACAACATGTACCTYAGATTTATTCACTAGCCAAAACAACACACTGAATAATTTCTGACACATTTAAGCACTTTAAAAAAAAATTAGTGGCTAAGTAAATCAAATTGTGTATTACTTTTCTGGATGAGTCAAAGAACCCTGGAAACAGGACTGCAAGTATGAAGGATTTGCATTTGTGTATGCAGCTTTCTACAATGCTGGTTTACTGCCCATTTGGGGGGCATTATCTGTAAGTTTATAATATTTGTAAAATGTTTTGCYAAGTTCCAGCAGTCACTCAAATTTTGCCTGAAGAAACAGAGAATAATTTACAAAATGTTTGCTTAGCTCTACTTAGAAAAATCTCCTCCAGAATTAATTCCAAAGAAGGTACAGATGTGTGTTTGAAATAGTTCACACCCTCTAGCCAAGGTGTTTTCCTAATAYATATATGCTCTTCTGGGCTTCTATGGCCACCCTGGCTGGAATATCAGAAATCTTCACAGTCCAGCCTTGACAAGGCCTGTATAGACCAGACAACCCGTTTAGGTGACATTTGCTGGAACAGTAGGTATTTATGTTGCTCTGGTTGTACCTCAAAAGAGCAGTGAATTTAATTTTTTGTGATATTGTAGCTGTGCAAACTCCTTTCATTAGAAATGTGCTAGGATTTCACTTTAGCTTTTATTCACCTTTTGAGTATTGCAATATCCTTTCAACCAGAACAGGATATTTGGTGATTCGCTGGGTGACAAGCAAAATGCACTCAGGGATTCCTCGGCGTCGTGCCAACAGGTTACTATTTCTCAGCTGCACAGATAAAAATTTATACTTTAAGTATAAATGCATATTAAACCACCAATTGACTAATAAGAAATATGATCTAAAAGCATTAGAATAAGTTGAAACAAATGCTGGGTAATCTGAACCATCCCCAAGGAACAGTYGCTGTGCTGAGGGATGAGGCGTACAATAACAGGAACATGTGTGTAATACACACTGGATGCCAAAGCATTCTAAAATTCAAAAGAAAATTGTGATTTATCAGCTCGTAGTTAAGGAGGAAAAACTTTCGCCATTTTTATTAGCTATTAAAAGTGAGTTACTGAGTATGATTCCAATGCTAAATCTAAGTAAAAGCCATGTGTCTTTTTCCTGAGTGTTTTGTCAATAGTGCTCATGATTCCACATTAACTTACTTTAATAAAATTCTGGAACTTCTTGTTTTGTTGCAGCTCTTTGAAGAGATTAACAGCTTCTTTCTGATGGCTACAAAACTCTCCATATATTTTCTCCATTTTAGTTGCACTGTCCTCTGAAAACTKAAGAAATGAATAAGTAAGTTGTGCTCAACTTCTCAACAGACAGGAAAGTGTATACCTTTAACTAATGAATTTTGTATGAATAGGGAAGTTTTTCACTATTCATTTATAAAGTTCTCTGAATTTCACTAACAGGCCCTGTCACTAGAGAATGAAAATAGCCTAGCGGCTTTTGGGAGCAAGAAGAGAGACGCAGGCTGGAGAGAGCACAAACAACCTCCGCTACAGTCTTGCCAATAACAGCTTGAACATCATAACAGCATTGCCTTCATCTCTTTTCAAACACAACCCTTTGAGGTTCATTTGTGTTTGTCTGATCTCCACACTGCTTCTAAACAAGGTAACAACTCAGCTCTTTATTTCAACTGAGTGAAAAGGTGAAAAGCCACATCTCCCATTTGCATAGAACTGAAGTGTGAACGCTAAACCATCAGTCAGCCATTCTTCACAGTAAACAGCTTGTGGCCAACCCTTCCCTATGAGCAGTGTTCTGAGATATAACATGCCAGAAGAAATTAAGAAATTAATGGGTAGTTTCTTTTCCATCATCACACAGTTCTTCACATCTCTGCTCAGCTGTCAAAATTAAGTGAATCTATTGCTTCAATTTTTTGCAGTCCATGTTTGGGCAGCAGCCTTCTACTGAAAAAAAAGGACCAAGTTCATCACTTTCCTAGTCACTCATACCACATAGGGAGAAGTCCATCCCAATTTCATCACAGTTACCTAACAATAAATGTTTTTCTCATTGCTATTTTATCCTGAAATAATCTGGAGAGGACAGGTTTTGAATTCTTTTGAGGCAACCATAACTGTCTTCCTGCCAACAGAAGTTTTGGAGTAAAAAAAAAGGTTTCAGTTGGGAAGCCTGAGCACTTAAAGGTTTAACAGAGCTGATTCCTCTACCTGCTGCACAAGGATGTCTCCAATTCTGCTGATGACAAAATTACGCTCGCTCCCTGCCTCACACGATTCCTGCCGTCTGTCCTTCATTCTGCAGAAGAACTGCCTGTGCATCTCCAGTAGCTCATCTAAGCAGGGGAATATTCTGTCCACCATGCTGTGGTCAAGCTGCAGTTCTTCCTTCATGCCTTTCCTGAATATTTCAGACATGATGAACAGGGTGTGGATGTGATGTACTTCTGTTTGCATCAGCTCTGTGGCATAAAAGAAAAGAGCATAGAGTACTAATCACCCGAATATTTTACACATCTTCTAAGACAGACTTTAGTCCCTCAAACACGCAGGCATAATCTCTTTTTCCATGGGACCCTCAAATATATTATGTCAGTAGGAAGACTTAATTCATCTGACACAATTCTCTCTATTCCACTGAACAGGCTGTGGTTGCAACTGCTTGAGCTGGGGAACAGATTAATTCCCTTCCAATCTCAACCATTCTATGAACTGGCTAGGCAAGTCCCTGTTAGCCTCTACTATCCATTTTCTCAATTCTAGGACACAYTGCAATTTGTGATTAAAACGTTCGTCGAACCTTCTTACTGTTTTGAGTTGAAGCATCAGATCTTCTGGACATAAACTATATGGGATCCGTCTCYATTTGATACATCAAGTTGCATTTAACCTATACAAAGCTTTGAAATACTGACCAAATATGACATCCTGCCTCTTGATTACATCCTTTTCTTGCTTGCTACAGAACGTCGGATCGACAACAAGGCTCCAGGACTCTGCTTCAAACTCTTCTGCATCTGTGCAGAGATCAGTCCACTGAGACAAATCCACATCACCTACGACAAAATTTATATTTCTTTAACACCACACATAAAAAGAGCAAGAGAAATCCCTTGGCACATGCAGATCAATTAATACAGAAAGGGGAACATATCACAGAGATGAGTGATAGATAAGGTTTCTGCAAACACTGGCACTGGCTTTACTGCAGCGAAGTGTGCCAGACATCAATATCRTTATTGCTGAATTGCTGTTGTGACAGAAGGAGAGGTGAATAGGAAAGAAACACTCTTCTTTCCTCAGATTAAATCCTTTTTATAACACTTAGCTTGAAGAAACTGTTTAAAATTTAAACATAAAGTTCAACATTTCCRATGGCAGAGGTCCAGTGAGTGGTATCTGCCCCATCCTGTGTGAGTGAATGCCTTACAGCTTTCAAATTCAGTCTCACACTCAGCTACAGAAAAAAAAATCTATTTGCTTCACAAGGCTATGTACCTATTGTAGGAGCACAGCTCACCAGCAGGAGGTAAGAATTTGGGGCTACTGAGGAAATACAAGTGTTGCAGGTTTACAGTTTGCAATAGACGCTGTCAACAGGTTCAACTGGATGGGTGCAAAAGAAAAATATATTACTGCTCTGTTTTTGCAAGGACATGCAGTATGTATATACCTGTTATTTTTAAATGGTAACAACATACTAAAATATTCTAGAAGTTATAAAACGGTTACAAAAAAAAAAGGAAAAGTTGTCTTTTAAGAGTAATATATTTGATTTCATCATTTTAATGAGGGACATAATGGTAGTTATCAAAAACAGGTGCTCTTCTTTTAGAAGATGAAGSATCTCCCTATGTTAGTTAAGGAGTTTTTCTAGTTTTCACTTCCAATACTGGCTGTAAGATGCGACATCTGTGCAATATTCTCACCTTCCATCATAAAAGCATCCATTGAAGGAAAGGTCCCTAACGCTTGTAACATCTCTTCAGACTGTGACTTGGACCTCCAGGCATTAGTCTCAGAGTCTTGTTCAGAAAATTGTGTAGCTCTTCTACAGCAGAAAAAAAAAAAGCGCAAATTTATTTCATCGTTTCAATTTTCCTCGAAATGCTGAAGGATGTATTTAGCACAGTCCACTGGCAACTGCCCTTCTACCTTTCCAAACTGGCACTGGGGACACTTTTGGACAAGAAGTAGGGCTGTTGTGAGGCTTCCCTCTTTCCAGACAGTCCAACAGGCACAGAAAAAGAAGGATGCACTGAGGATAGCACCATCTGTGAAATGTCTCCAGGCAGGGAATCTGTGAGCCAAAGCACAGCACAACACTTTGACAAATAATACGGAGCACATCATCAACAGCGCACTTACACTGAGAAATGCTATCCGGTGCTCATTACTGATCTACTTCAACAATGTCCACATGTCAAAGTAYCTGACCACAATGCTCTCTCATAGCATATAAAAACTAGCCTGTAGGCAAAGCAGAATTGCCCCAGAGTGGATATTATTTGATAAGAAAATAATCTCAAATCATACATGCTCCATAGGTGTGCAAATACTTGCACACAAAGCAGACAAAATAGATAGAACTGACTGYTTTKTTTTTTTTTTCTCTTAGTGAAAATATAGTAAATTCACACTTATTTTAGYAGAAGATGAGTTAACTCAGCAGTGATCTCTCAAAAAAGAATTCTGTTCATGTTGGACACACACACCTTTTCTTATAGATGCTAAACCAAAAATTTTAAATAGTCAAATGATGCAAGACAGTTCATGCTGTCAATCCCATTATTTTTAGTCAAGGCGTACCTTAGAAGTGCTAGGTTTATACCTAACTTACTTGTTACACCAGCTTGGGGCTTGTTTTTATTATGGYATCTCTCCTGGGATTTCTGGAAAAAAAATTTTTTTTGAAATCACATAGCTGATAATATAATTAACAGACAAGTCAGTAACTCATTGACATATACCATCAYGCAAGATGGCTGCAAGAAAATGGCTCTAAATTATAATAAGAATTTCTTCCAATAACTAATTTTATTAAGTGTTTGTAGATAATAATATTCCAAGTAGAATACTATTTGTACTACAATACAAAACTGTTTATTCTAAGCAAACTGAGTTACAAYATTCTACTTTTACAGGCAATATGAGTATTGCCTGTAAAGGCTGCAAAAAAAGTGCATTCTCTTTTTACTTTATACTCATATAAGATCAAAGTATTTGTGGCAGGGCCCTATCTGAGGAAGCATGGGTACCAGGGGCAGAACCGCTCCCCCTACCAAATCAGATTTTTGCAAAASCTGTAGCAAAAGCCTACTCTGCTTGAGCATATGCTTCAGGTGGGTCACTGAACACTTCCTGTACCCCATTCTTACTGAGGTGAGTTGGGGATGGTGGGGGCTCTTTTCTCCTCTTGTAAATAACCCACCATCCCCAGTAACCAAAGCTGTCATAATGCCCTAAAGTTTYCCAGAAAATAGTGCAAGGCTATGATGTGAAAATTATAACCAAAATTAGACTCACTTGATATGCACACAGTTTAAAGCTTGTTTATGCTAGAGAATTAGTATGTTCTCCTTGAAAGCCACCTAGCTACACCAGAAAGACACACTCCACTAATTTGAAAAATTACTTGCATCACTCTGGCACATTTCTCTTCTAGTCTCATTTTATTTCTTGAGGGCAGAAGCCTGACACATTTGGTTTTCAAAAYTGCATCTGTCATGATAACCTTACCATGCTTGGATTCCTTCTTAAGAGCTAAGGTAGTATCCACCAGCTCTAGAGCTGATTTTGCCCTGTCCATAGAAGCAGCTGAAAACTGGGAGCAGCTGCCTAGGCAGGCAGCTTGGAGTCTCCTCCAGAGATTTACCAGAACGGGTGAAACAAACTCCCTCCCAAGTTGTTACCTAGGAGTGAGCTGGCCCAAGGGTGAGGAGGTAGATGAGGTCACCTGCCAGAGCCCCTTCCATATCTGCTTTCCATTATTCCAAACTCATGGGATTCCCCCTTGAGGGGCCCTTCTTCTCCATCCATTTCATGACCCTCCATATTTTATAATTTGAGYTTGCAACTCTTCAAAAACGTAAATACCTCTTGATACTAATTTTTGACCCCCCTACTAAAAATTGTTATTCAAGCACAGGGTTTGCTCTCTTGGTCACATTAGCCACTCTGACACCCTTGCAGCCCTTCACACATTGACACTGGATCTGGGCAGTCTGTGTGTATTTTCTTTTTTCCTTCACCGTGTTTCCAGCCCCTTGGAAAGCAGGTATGCTCTAGTAAGATCAGGGTAGGAGGTTACCTTGGTGCACACAGGAGTGCACTCCTTGCAGCTCTTATGCACAATCACGTTGCAATCTGWAAGACAAGGCACGTTTCAAAGCCTGGCACCAAACAAGGCTCCCAGTCTGCAGAAAATGTACTCTGAGGCCTCAGTTTTTCCCTTTTTCAGGTTCACTTTCTAAAGTAGTCCTCAGGATTCTATGATATGCAGATACAGACTAGAAAGAGGGTTCTGCCTAATGTGCTAGGGCTAGGAGATTGATCAGGTCCCTTCTGAATCTGTTACCTGCTGTCCTTCCTCCCTCTGCCTTGTCAAACTCAGCTCATTACATAAAGCAGGTACATCCAAATGTACCTTTTTCAAACAATCCAAAGGTTCCTTTTTCAAACAACACACCGAAACAGGAGGTCAAAACAGCATTCAGAGCACTGTAAATTCACATGTAAAAGACAGCAACTACTTACAAGCACACTGCAGTGACTCCTTTCCTAGGAGGGCCTTTTCACAGACCATACATGGGAAAACTCCTGTGAAGGTCCCATTTGTAAAATTGTGCCTGGTTGATTTCTCCTTATCTTTGGTATCTTTATTTTTTGTCTTCATCCCCAACAACAGAGGCACGAAAAGAAATGAAAAAGATAAACAACATAGATTTRAAAATAAGATAAAGCAATTCAATCTTAAAAACAATAAAATACTCCTTTATAAGACCAAATCTTTCTAGAACATTTATTCCCTGTCCTGGAAGACTTGCAACAGCACACTGTACTCTTACACTTCACAGTGTTGAAGCCCTAAAATGATATAGGCATTTCTTTTACTGGCAGCCTGGAAGCATTACCAAAGAAGACTGGCAGAAATACATTTACAAAAAAGGGGAAGGACAGAATATAAAATTTACAAAGTTTTGTTGATTCACTGCACACATAAATATCAATGCCTACAACCCTACATATACACAGCTCACGCCACTGCAGACTRAGGTTATGCAGTTATGAAAATTTAGACAAGTTGTCTTCAGATCTTAATAAACATTAGAAACGACRAATTTTTAATGAGTGATAAAAAGTTTCATAAATTCTGACTATTTTTACAGTACTTTTGTTGGCATAAGTATACATCTAGTGTAGTTGTAGTCACTGTTATAGTTTAGGAGAACACACAGACACAGGCTACATGACCAGACGTACATATTCACAGCCGATTCTGACACTCTTGCAGATACCACCTCAGACAAACATCTTCTTATCCATGTACTCTAGGATGTCCTGGGGCACAGGATGGCATACTAGGGAGCCTGCAAAGCCACCCAAAGACCAGCAGGAAAGMGCCTGTAGGCCTAGCCTGTCTTTCAAGCTGCTAATTGAGGTCATTAATCTAAAATTAAAATGTTTTAGAAATAAACTACAGTTTAAACATACCTTCCATAGTAGGTATGTTTGACTGTACAGCCCACAAATCTCCAACTCTTTAACTCTAARCTTTGCTTACTTATGAAAGAAGTCYYATTAATTTCAAATAAGGCAAATTCAACAAATTACATCCTGATACTGAAGTTTACACTTCACAATTAAGTAAAATGTAACACACTCAATTACTTTTTGAGAGTAATTCCAAGAACTGGCCCAAATCTCTTACTTTTATTTAACAAAGAAAATTATTTCTTAAATGCAATTCATACATTTAAACTTTGGTTAAATCATCAAGTGGAATTACTGATGACATCAAAAAATAACAAGGAAAATGCTTAATATTGTTCAGCTAATGCTGTTGTTTTAAAGGAAAGCTGGTTTTTAATATGAAGGCCATTTTAGGGTATCCTACATATGTTTCAAATTTAAAAAAAATAAAGCAAAGAAAGTCTTCCTATTATTTTTGTGGTTTTGTAATAAACAWTTTATCTTTACATAAAAATTTAGCTGCCATCTAAAATTAATTTAATTGCAGTGACATCATTATACATAATAAAATAGACATAAACCCTAGATTACCTTGCATTTATTCCTTGTACTGGTCATCCTGTTCACCAGAAAGCTGAAAGTCCGACTCACTTTATATTTTTCAGACTCATTTTTTGAGGGTAGAGCATATTTATCCCATTCCTCCTCCTGAATCCTAGAACAGGGACCAGCGAAAAAATGTTCCTCATTCCAATGGCAGCAGACCTTTCATTAACATATAGCAGAATCTGTACAGTGCTCGTTTCACCTAACAGTTACGTGTTTTGTTGTGGGTATAACCGATAATATGAGAAAGATTGCAATCCCTCTATAAAAAAAGTAACACTTTCCAATGGAGTGTTGAGCATGTGCAGCAGGTAACACACTTTCCTGATTACAGTCGGTATCAAAAGCTCCCTTGCTTTTCCTGCAGTGATTTGGACATCCCTACAGGGCACAGGAGCCCCAGCAGCACACAGGAGCCCATCCCTACTCTGCACGTTCCACAGTAAATCCCTGCTGCAGGATGCTTGAGTTCGGCACACGGTTTAGGCACAAGCCCGCGGAYGCCATGGGCTCTACACAGCTGCTCCAATCCTGCATGGAAGGGGTGCTGATCTCTTCCCCACACGCCTCCCTAGATGGCATTCTTGCACAGACCTGCTCCCCGCTCTCCGTGACACACACACCGTACCTTTGGTGCTCCTGGGACTGCTCGGGCAGGCTGAACGCTCGCTCTGCAAGACAAAACAGCCACCAGGCGCTCAGACYGCAAGGTCATCGGGTTTACTTGAAACTCACCACCTCCACTAAGACACAATCTTGCCATTAAGGGTTTGCAAAATCCTGATTTGAAAATCAGGGAGGTAAAAGCATACATATACTAGAAACAGCTTTCTCTAGGTTAAGACCACTTCCTACTAAGCTTTTAGTTGAAAGAATTTGCCAGGATTGAGTAGGATATCAGTGAATGCCAGTCTCTGCAAACAGCCTTTTTTTAAGAATAGCAAAAAATACTGCTTTTGTTTTGCTTAACAACCCAGACTTGAATAACTCACCCTTCATTTTGCTTTTTACTTAATTTGCTGTAAAAAATCTTAATAGCATTTTTCTGTGATTATACATCTTATGCAACCATACTTATTAAAAAAATTTAAATCCATCAACATAAACAGGAGTACTACCACCCTAGGTACTGCACAGGATGTTTAATGTGTTACAAATTTGTATCTTATGTGACTCTATGATACTACAGATGACTCAAGGCTGTACTTTCACAAACTTTCTAAAAAGCAAAATAAAAGATAAACAACTCAGCTGGGTCGTTTTGAAGAAAATAAGCTAAAAACTATAGAGACCACTACCATTTCCAAATCAGAAGCCACTCCATTTTGCAGATATTTTTAGCAAAGCAACCACAGGTATGGTCCAGAAAGATAACCACTTGCCTAAGGCAAAGCACCAGACTACCCTTTATTTGAAGTTAGATACTTAAAYACCCTTTGCTGAATCAGCCTCCCTTCAGACAAACGTTGACTTCAGGTTAGCAAGAGCCAGAGTATCCACCAAAGTAGTAGCGAGACCAAAAGGGCATTTCAGTTAGTTGTCAGGCACAACCTGTGCCACAGGATGCTTGTGCAAGAAACCAGCGTCATATATCCATGGGAGATGAAGACAGCCTCATGCAAAACAGCACCGCAGGGCTGGCACTGACGTACTTACTAGAAAGGTGGAGATGAGACACTGACTTAGAGAGTGYAAGGGCCTGAAGGAGGGATGGACCACTGTTCATGAGCACACCATCTACAGAGCAGGGACAAATCCTTTGCTGTTACAGCCTGGTAATACCCTCTTGAATAAAGGCAGGTAGTATGTTTTAAATCTGAGCATATTTAAAAGCTTCCATCAGAAACAAATGGTGTTTTGCCTTTTTTCATATTTTGTCTGAAAAACACCACCCTGTTATCATCCACTTTGGCTTACATTTTGTTGCAATGTGCAGGGGCAGCTGCACCTCTCTCCTGTATAGCTGAGCCTAGAGCAAGATGTCCAAAGCATTGGCAGCTGGGCAGAGGTGAAGGGACAGGTTTTCCGTGTGCAGACTCCCACTCAGATGCAGACACAATCCCACCACAGACCCTGGAGATCAGSATGAACCATCTGATCAAGGTGAGCTTGGTCGCAGCTTCATGGACTCAGCTCCTGAGCTAATCCTGCATCCAGATACCACTGCTCAAAGTAAGCACAGGTGTGCCTGCCTCACACAGTAAACACGGTGTTCAACGTTCCTATCCTTGCAAAATGCCAGCAAAGAAAAAGGGAKAATGCAGGAGGTGCTGGTGGGAAGGAAGAGCAGGCAGGAAGCTCAGCAGAACACMGACCCTCCTTCCCAGCATTACACCACGTCTGTGGCACAGGCTTGCACAACAGCCTATTTCTAATATATGGAATGGTTTTCCACTTTCTCCACAAGATATGCAAAGGCCCAGCACTGGCTGTTGGAAGAAGAGGAGAAAAAATGAAGAGGAAATGGACTGAAGCCTGGATTAAGTCAGGACAGGTAATGGTGTYTGGGTGAAACTTAGTGGGCTGTGACACCAGCAAACTCCCTTAGCTGCGGCATCAAAGGAATTCKGTTTTACTTTAAGCCCATGACCACTGGGCTTTTCTATTCTGCTGTCTTCTAATTCTGTGATATACTTCTATCTTTCTTTTCTGCCTTGTTTTTTTCAAAGACTGCTCACCTGATCTGTTGAATATAAATGTTACAGATACTCTAGGTGAAGGGAGAAAACAGCACAGCTGCGCGCTGCAGGATGCAATACTTTCTCTTCCTTACAAGGGGACGTGAAATCTTATAGTGAGTTTGGGTCACAGCAAAGAAGTTATTTGCTGCACTGCTTAATGCAGYTTCTTAGGAAGAAAGAAGTCTGCAGACATTGTATCTCTCACCCTGAAAACAGTTTTTGAAGTTTTTAAATGGTTTCAAAGTTAATGATAACACTTCCATAATTTTTTAGGCTTTCACATTGAATGTCAAAGAATCACACAGTTGTTAGGGTTGGATAGGATCTCCAAGATCATTAGAATACTGAGGAAGCTGATGGAATAGTTTGCCAAGCCACTGTCCATCACTTACCATCAGCCCTCRTTAGCCAGGGACATCCCAGATAACTGGAGCCTGGCAGGTRTGGTGCCCACCTACAAGAAGGGTCAGAAGAAGGATCTGGGAAACTGCGGCCTGTCAGCCATGGTTGACCTTGATGACCTCAGTGCTGGGGAAGGTTATGGAATAGAATATCCTGAGTGTGATCACCAGCACATACAGGACAACCAGGGCATCAGGCCCAGCCAGCATCTCCTGGRAAGCTGGCAGCTCATGGCTTGGACAGGTGCACTCTTTCCAGGGTAAAAGTCTGGCCAGAGAGTGATGGCAAATGGAGTTACATTCAGCTGTCAGTCTGTCCCCACTGCTGCTCCCCAGGGCTCAGCATCGAAACCAGGCCTGTTCAGTATCTTTCTCACTGATTGAATGACAACATTTAGTGCACCCTCAGTCACTTCACTGACATTATCAAACTGTGTGTGAGCTGATCTGCTGGAGGGCGGGAAGGCTCTGCAGAGGGATCTGGCCAGGCTGGATCATGGGCCAAGGCCAAGGGTGTGAGGTTCAACAAGGGCCAGGGCCGGGTCCTGCCCTGGGGTCACAACAACCCCAGGCAGTGCCACAGGCTGGGGCAGAGTGGCTGGAAAGCTGCCCACAGGAAAAGGACCTGGGGGTGCTGGTAACAGCGGCTGAACATGAGCCAGGGTGTGCCCAGGTGGCCAAGAAGGCCAATGGCATCCTGGCCTGGATCAGCAATGGTGTGGCCAGCAGGGCCAGGGCAGGGATTGTCCCCCTGTRCTGGGCACTGGTGAGGCCACACCTCAAAYCCYGTGCCCAGCTCTGGGCCCCTCACTCCAGGAAGGACATTGGGGTGTTGGAGCATGTCACCCAGAGAAGGGCAACAGAGCTGGGGAGGGTCCAGAGAGTCAGTCCTATGAGGAGCAGCTGAGGGCGCTGGGGTTGTTCAGCCTGAAGGAGGCTTAGGGGGATCCTTCCTTCTCTGTGCARCTCTCTGACAGGAGGGTGTAGCCAGTGGGGTCAGCAACTTCTCCCAGGTAACAAGTGACAGGACAAGAGGAAATAGCCTCAAACTACTSCAGGGGAGGTTCAGGTTGGAACTTCACCAAGAACTTCTTCACTGAAAGGACAATCTAGCAATGGAATGGGCAGCCCAGGCAGGTCACAGAGTTACCTGGAAGCATTCAACTAACAGTGGATGTGGTGCTTAGTGCTATGGCTCAGTTTACATGATGTTGTTCGGTAAAAGGTTGGACTCAATGACTTTGGAGTAATTTCCAACCTTCATCATTCCATGGTTCTGTTATCTAGTTCCAACATCCCTGCCAAGTGCAGAGATGCCACCTACAAGATGAGAGGCAAATTAAACCCGTTTAATCTGGCCTTGAACACTTCCARTGATGCAGCATCCACAACTTCTCTGTGTGTCTGTTCCATTTGGTTCACTGTCACACATATGTCCTGCCTCCTGCCCTGTCCTACTGAAAAGCTAAAGGCATATTGGAGAGAGAGACAAGCTGGAAGTATGGACAGGCAATGGACAGGGTTACAGAGACAGAGGTCAAGCCTCTTGAAGGCAGGTGYTTTTTAGTGATGTGAGCTGTATGAAAAGTATATGTATTTCACACTTTGCAGTTTTCAAATATAACCYATACCCTCATTAAGGTGTGGACTGTCTTCTAAATATGAAACTATGTGTCTAGAAATAAAGCATGCCAGAAACAAGTCACAAAAAATTACAAGCTTCTTGCAGAGACATCTCTGACTCCACTTGATCAAGAGAATGGGTTTTGCTTCCTAGCCTGTAGAGATACTACAGCCCATCTGTGTTTCGGAGATTCCCCAGGATCTGTGGGAAGCTGGAACCATCTCCCCTCTTTGATCCCTCTCCTTTGTCATCTTGAGCTTCCTCCTGGTCTCTGTCAGACACTCAGCAGGAGGTTAGAGTAAGGAAATATCTTCCAAAGAGAGGATTATTGCCCTTGCCTRCATTAGTTTTTGTGGCTAATTGCTCACTCAGTTTGCTTGCCCTCCCAAGGATCAGCACCATGGGAGGGCATGACAAGGCTGCAGATGGTAAAAGAGCAAGGAATGATGGTAAGGCTACCTGAACACTGCTGAACACACACACCGGTGAGCTCTGTAAGGTAACACCATCAGCACTGGGCCTGAAGTGGGYGGGTGCGGAATGATGCAAAGCCACAGAACTGACCTTCGTTTGAATCCTCAACTGCAAACTGCCGAGGAATGCGAGGTCTTCCTACCACACCTTTGGGTGAGGAGCAGGAATAGGAGCGTGACCGAATCCCAAACACTGTGTATTCCTACAAGAAATTGAAGCAAATGAAACCTTGTTTAATTCTGAAATGCATCAGCAACAGAAACAATCAGGAACAACTGGCCACTCACATAGGCTTTCTTGGCTTCAAGTCAAATTTTTGACAACTTMATGTGAATTCTTAAAAAGTCTGTCATATTCCCACCATGATACATTTTTGTATACTCCAGGAAATAGTTTGTGGGTGCAAGTCAGACTGAGAACTAAGAGAAAGYTTACATTCTTCTCCCAGTTCATAACAGGTGACATCCAAACAGTACTGTTGGTCATTATATCTGATGACCAAGCTRTCTTCTTTTACCAAGGAAGGCTTTAATCTTAGTACTTTAATAATTATAGAACATTTCATGAAGACTATGGCCATGCCTTGGTAACTGTTGATGTCAGAGTTTCCAAAGGAAGGAGTTGGTCTTCCTTTTTTTCTGTATTGTTTTTGGTTGGTTTAATTATCATTGCRTTTGAAAATATTTTCCAACCACCAAATATGTCAATAGTAAGAATTGAAAGGAAATCCCCTAATATTTTATTCTTTTGCACTTTAACAGAGCCTAAAACTCCAGTAAAGTGCTTACTTTACTAATTTTAAAAGCAGCACTAACAGAATTTATATTTGTGCTGAAATCTTTCTCTCTTCATATAACCATTTGCTGAAGGTCAGATAAAGTTCTACAATGGCAACAAGTGGATCTGAAAAATCATAAAGAATCTTTGTAAACAAGCAATAACTCTATTTAATGTCAGAAGATCTCAGAAATGGCACCAKGGTCTAATGAAAATTAATGTAGACAGGATACTTCAGGAAACTGTAATGAAGAGGAAATTTACATTGGTCAATGCACCATCTGAATTTCCCTGAGTTTAAAAATTGTTTCAAAAAACGCAGCAGGCTAGCTTTAAACTTCACAAAGCATTACTCTTTCACATAACTACAGCTGGTTAAACATTTTCTCATTAAACATATTTTGGTTAAAAAATGCTGATTCACTGAACCTGAGATATTTCCCTTGAAACACTTCTGATAAATGATGTGCTTTTTAAAGTTGAGGCAAATCCCYGATGGACACTTCCTTTCCACAGCTGCTGCCCAGCCCAGCCACAACCAAGGAGTTCCAGCTCCACAACCCTGTATGAGTGCACTCTGGAGGGGCTAGCACTGCCAACCAAGAACTCATCTTTCCCCTTCAGATTCAGATGTTTCTCATCTAGTTTTGGTGATCTACTTGAAAAGAAAACAATTCAAACTTAGATAGCATCAAATACCTTGGGCTGCAGACCAGTAGGTAAGTTCRCTCCATCTCTGCTAGAAGCCATGGCCTCTGAAGAGCCGAGGGGAGAGTAGTGAGCATGGGATCTGTCCGACACCACTCCACTTCCACTGTCGACTTCAAGGTCATCAAGACTTGAACTGAAGAAGACAACAAAGTCTTTAACTTCACACAATTCCTCGTAACGATTTATTTCCACCTTAATGCAGCAAGTGAAGAGATTGCTGAATCCTCTGAACAATGACAGCCCAAACTACCATGATTATGTCRGGTAAACCATGTTCTGAGGCCTCTCTCTGGTCTGCACTCACCTAGCCAAGGTGCTCAATTTCTCTGTACAGGACCCCTCTGACCCAGCCTCACGGATCTGCGGTGCAGATATCTGCATCACTCATGGTCGTGCACATTCCCACCACAGCCAGCCACCTCTGCATCATGACTTTTAGATCTATGTGCAGCATCACCCAAAAAATGAGATGTTTTGTTCCACGCGTGAACCTGACTCTCGACACAGGTGATAAAGAGAACCGGGACAATATGCATGAGAGAACCAGCTCAGATTTCAGTATCAAGATACGTGGGTGTAGATGGATATAATGTGCATGTGTGTATTTGAAAGATATGACATGGCTGTTCACAGACATATTTTTATCTACATCTGTCACTTCTCGACAGAGGACAGAAGAGAAAAACAACGGAGACTAAGGAGYGTCTTGAAACAGTTTATGAGATTCAGTTCAAAAGATACACATTTGMAAACATACAGAGCTACAAGCAGACTGAAAAAATCTCTGGCTAAATCAATATTTCAAACACATAGAGACTATTTGATTGGCAAGAGTTCCTGAGCAGGAGACTGCACTAAGGTTGCTCAACAGTATYAGAGTTTCAGGATGAGTCCTGTTACCTGCAGGAGCAAGTTCATGGTCTCTTCATCAGAGTGACTGGAAGGAATGGTTGACTGCTTCAATAACATTCCAGCCTTACAACATAAAACTTTTAATTATGTGTGGTATTTCTAAATAGTCAGAGTTCTTACCAGGAATAATGGCACAAAAATTCCTTCACACACCACTACTTTGTTGAACCACAAATCTATCGTTTTCACTGATTGAAACTACTTCCTTATTACAATTCTGGAAATGGTATTTTGCAATGTTTCCAAGTAATAGCCCATGTGACATCTCAGAAACAAGTCACTTAAATGCATTATCAGTTATTGTCACATGTTAAAAACTGAAAAAGCAATACATGTCTATGTCAACAGACAAGTATCTATGACTTACTGTGGTAAATTTTTCTGAACATAAAAAGCTGATTTAAAAACAGAATTTCATACTMGTAGTCTTATTTTATGTGTAATATTTGGATCACTTACATATGTCATATGACACATCAAGGCAAATAACATGTCCCTGAAAATTTACATACACTCTTAAAAGTTCCCATATGGATACCTGACCTAGGTCTTAAGAAGAGTGGGACTATCCAAAAATGTGTATGATAAAAATGCTTTTGACTAGAGGGTCAGGAAAAGTACAGTACTCTACATGATAGCAAAGACAAGGAGTGTGATAGAAAGGAAAACTGTCAGACATTTACTGTATTATCTATGTTAAAGATTCCTCTTAGCGGGACTTCACAGTTGCATAAGAAACTCAAAATTAAGGAAGAGAAAATTTTACTGCCTTGTTTTAAATAATAATTGGCTGACATTATTGCTTTCTTACTGTTTTTACCTAGATCTGCTGCTCTGCCTCCAACTAGTCCTAAYACTCTTCAAAGATGGGAGCAAGATTCAAATTTCCTAGTGGATAAGAGGGAATCTCATCTATCCAGAGAAGCAATAAAGCCTTTTCATCATGAAAATTTATTGTTAAATTGTTTATTTTTAAATTAATTTTTAAAATCTGATTTTAATAATCAAAATTACCGTTCCATCTTCAAAGCACTCTGGATTTCTGAAGTAACCAGTTTCCACCATAACCTAAAGCCATTTGGAGGAGTGTCTTCAGACAAATGGCAGCAARTCTTGTCTACCAGCAATGCAGAAGAAAATAGTCTGAACCTATCAGAAAGAGCAGCTACACTCTTCTCTGTGCCTTTTGAGATAAAAAATATCTATGCAATCAGGAACAGCATGKTCCTTCTACAGGCTTATTTAAAGACTTGAAAGATTCCCAGAGATTTGAACAGAYTTTGGATTATTTTCTTAATGGGAAATATAACTGAGGAAAACCRGAGTGAAATTCTGCTATTAGTCAAAAATGCCACAATGGCAGCAATAGCAAAGAGCCTATTTTTTTTAAATAATATGTATATAAAGAAAAAAAGGTATGAAAGTATCCATTTGCATTAAAAATACTTTTACTAAGAGGACACTTTTATTTGTTAAAAATGTTTTCTCAGCTGTTTTTTGGAAACAATTGACAGGACAAAACATGTAAGTGATAAAAAGCAGATATTTCACCCCAATAATAGTATTTATTACCCCAGATTCTGCTTCACCTTTTGAAACAAAAGGTGTTTATAAATAATCCTTATTCTCAAGGATTCATCCCTCATCAAGCCATATCATCAAGTCAATTCCATACCTTCTTCTTTTCATGTCAGCATAAAGTTGGCCCCGGTCCTTAATAAATCCATGGGTCTTGAATGGAAGATATGAATCTGCTACATACAGACGAGAAGGTGTAGTGGCATGTCTTAATTCTGCATTTTCTTCATTTTTTATTGACCTTTGACTTCCTTCATTTGGGACATATGTAAATTGATCATTCTCCTCAAGGGAGAGAGATGAAGAACTCTTGGCCATTGGGATTGAGCTGGTGGGATTCAGACACGTCTCACTGCTGACACCATCTCCCTGAAYGTAGTCAGTCTTTAAATCTCCAGCCTGCAAGTAAAAAATAAATGCTGGTAAGAGGCAATAACAAGACTTATTATCAGGAAACAAGGAGCAGAGTAGTTTGCCATTTTATTTATGGATATATATTTTGTGAGGTTTTTCCCTGTTACTTTCTACACTACATGAATTGAAGGCAAATTGTATGGCTAAGAGATTCTAGACTTTGCATTATTTTTTTCCCGAATTAGAGCAGCAATTAATTGRTATTTCCAAGTCTACTGACTTTTTCACTCATATTTATATCTTTTATTACATGTACTGATACATATATTTATAGATTTTATTTAAAATTACTCTTGAGCAAAAAATAGGCATAATACATTAGTGTGGAAGGCATATTGTGCAATTTWATTTGGAAAAATCAGCCTACGYATAATGCACTTTTAATTTTTCAGCATTAGTCTCCTAAGCTTTGAGATAAATATATACAACTTGGAACAGAATTGCTCCAGGARAGGAAGGGAAAAGACTGTTTTGCCATTAAGTAATTCTGGGCCTGAAGCACCTCTGCTTTTACACAGAGACAGGAATGGATTTGMGAATTCTATTTTCTCAAGTACGAAGATCAGGTTTAGACTCCAGTAAAAAAAATATTTCTTTGCATTCCCCTGTTGACTCTGCAGAAGATACTAAAACACAGTTCATTGTTAGTCTTTTAGCTAGAGGCTACAGTCATCTAATCAGATGCTGAATAATATTGAAAAGTCACACTGCCAGTGAAAACACTCCATCTCCAAAAAGCACCTGTATAAAAGCAAGAATAAAGGAGGGATTGCGAGTCCAAATTGATCTTTCAGATTGCTGACTTCCTCTTCTCCAGTCCCTCTTGAGATGTGCTTTCATCCCCATCTTAATTATGTTTCTCTTAGTGAAAGACAGGAAGAACTTTTGGCATTTTTACAGCACCTCAYATTTGCATTTAAAGATTCAGCACATGCAAGTCTGGAAATACTTCTGTTGCACTGTGCACATGACATGCACGAAGGTAAAATATTTTTCCCAGGTCTTATGCAGCTGTTACTCCCTGAAAAGTTATTCCTGTCTGGGCAGTGTTCCTCCTCAGCACCAGAGGGACCTTCTCCAGCAGCCACTCTGGCTCCTGYTGAGTGGTGCTTAAGGGAGAATTTGGCCCCAATCAGTAATTTAAAAAAGTAGACTGTGGCCACATACTGAGCAAAGGTTAGCAGCCCAAGCTGAAGGGCCCCTGAGCAATACAMTTGGGTGACGTTTCCATCTGTAATGGAGATGCAGTTCTGCAGCTCTGTCCTTCCAACCTTGGTATTGTTCAAACCAAGGGTTCRAAGACTGCACTTTAGAGTCCTTTTACAGCTGCTCACCCATGGGTCATTATTGCATTCATCTCTTCGGCGCATTTTAAACACACACAGCCTCTGACTTAAACTTCCTTCTCAGCTGTCACAATGAACTGGATCTGCAGTAAATGCAGTGGGTGAAGGGTTTCAGGAAATGGGGTGGGAAGGGCAGGAGGTGAAGAAAACAAAACAAAAATATGCTTTCAAAATCTCGGACTCATCCCCCAGGCCCAAATTATGGTACCTGAGTGTGACCATGGAGGAAAGATTCCAAGGGCAATACAGTGATGTAAAATATAATTTGGCATGGATGCATTGGTTCATCTCCAGTACTGGTGTCAAACCAGAAACAGAAATACTAAGTCAGGATCTCTAATATCAGAATGTTCCATGATAACTGTAGGACATCAACTTCACATTTTCAGCAATACGTTGCTTTTGTTGAGCCTATAAGCTTTACTATGACCTTATAATTAACTTCTGAAATTATCCAGAAAATTCATCTGTATTGTGAATGTAGACAGAATTCAGAAATCAGAAGCGCACATGAGCAAGTAACTTTGTTTCTTAGTTTAGCTCCCAAACACATGGAAGAGAGTTCTTCCTGCAATCTGGGGAGATTAATTCCTATCGTTGACTGAATCTGTTAAGAGACCTCATAAAGAGGTTACAAAACATAACTGAAAAGAGTGAGGTATTGCAGATTTTAATTTAGAATTTCACTAAATGACAACACACCACTGCTGACAGATCTAGAATATCCTACTATCATACAAATAAATTTACAGAAGATGAAGAAAAATTAGCCAAAAGTTCAAACATAAGCTTACTTCGTCTACTACCATGGAGTTTGCATATACTTCATCACTTCCACTCAGCATGGGAGAAAGCCTGGTTGCAGCAAAGAAAGTAGGGGGAGACTTCAACTTCTTAAGAACATCAAGGGTGGAGAGTCTGTGCTCTGGAAAACAGAAATCACGGGAAATATGCCATTACATCTCAAACCATTTCCTTCTCATCTGTATATACTATCACAAAAATGACAAGGTTAAGCATTAAGCACCAAACCTTAGGATTACAATTKGAGTAATATTTTTGTGACCACACCAAAACCTGCTCATTTCATAATTGTCCAACACAATATATTCTGGGAAGCCTACAGATGACAAGCCTCTAAAGGGTTCCAAGGAATCATGCACAAAACTGAAATATTCCTGTATCTTGGTTAGCAAAAGCTTCTGTTTTCCACCTAAGCTAGRACTTCGTAGAGATTTGAGGTTGAAAAATAAAACAGGACAAGATTTATGGGCTGGGATGAATTATGCATGATTCTGGCCTGTACATTAAATCCCTAACATCTGATACATTAAATGAATGAAATACTGTTCAATTGCAGTCAAATAATGATTCTCTTAAAGCATTCTACCTACTGACAGCCACATAAATATTAATTTAAAACCAAGAAATCAGACAAATGTTCTTAAAAAAAAAAAAAAAAAAAAAAAAAAAAAAAAAAAAAAAAAAAAAAAATTTAATAAAAAAAAAAAAAAAACAAACAATAAAATTGCAAAAGGGATAACAATAAAATACTACTAATACTGCCTTTACAGAGTGACAGCAATCAAGCAAGACTTGACTCGTGAACAGGATGTTTGGGATGAGCACTGCATCCGGTCAGCTTTTGATCAGTTTCAACAGAAATCATTAACAGAAATCCAGAGTTCAGTTTTCAAAAATGTGCTCATGACTACAAATACTATAAAAAGCTGCATGAGCTGTAGTTTATGCTTTGAGTAGCAGAAATCTGTCTATCCCGTAGGCCCACTTCTCTCAGAGCTGCTTGTAAGAATGAAGAACACATACCAGTCCAGCATTTGAGCTTGGTTATCTTCCAAATATAAAACGAGTAAAAATTTGACAAAACAGAAACAAGTCTTGTTGTAGACCATGTAAAAATAGGCTAAAAAAGAATCACATTTGTAATGTAGCTTTCCTTAAAATGTTGTAAGTCAAGCATTGCCATTGGAAACAAACTGAGACAGACTACCATAATGATGTGATAGAGCAAAATATAATATCCAGCAAAAATCAAAATTCAAAAAACTTCATTTGCCTTTGTCTGTTATTCAATATTATTTTTAAAATCCTTTTTATGATGCATCAGAAATTTATTTTCTGCAGGGGTGTAAAGGATAAGATACCACTAAAGACTTTCCCCGYACTAAGTTCCTAAAGCAACATAATTGGTTTTGGAACATCACAGAGCCATACAGCATGGTTGGAAAGAGAAGTTCAAAAGTTATCTAGTTCAACCCCTCAGCCATGCCCAGAGACATGTTTCACAAGATTGGGTTGCTCAAAGCCCATCCAAGATGCTTATAACCATCAGATTGCAAGAAAATTCATAATGAAGAAATACCACTGGATTAGAAACACTTGTTAAGGTCTGGGGCATTTGTTGCTTTGAAAAACAAGTCCCAGGCCACTGCCAAATCTGTAATGATATACCACAGCTTTTATTTAATTTTAAGATGTTAACTCATAAAGCCCAAGGACACTAAGCTCTATACTTAGAAAGGGGGAAATTCCCATTTAGAAGTGGCACACTATGAATATTTGGTTTCACGCCCTGACAGGCCTTGTGGGAGCTCCTAACATTAAAACATCCTTACATGTCTCATTTTATTTTTTCCTCCTGCAAGAATTTTAGTGACTGTCATACTGAGAATTGCTAAAGCTACAAACCATTTTTTATGTCTGACAAGATCCCAAAGCTTTTGCTAACAAATAGTATAAAAGCATTGTTCTCCACAGCAACTGATCAAACTCTGGCAGCTAAAATCATATGGAAATGTGATTTGGCAAAATTGGCAGTACTTTCCTTGTGTCAAAAAAAGCATTCCAAGGGTTGGCCCTTAACCAACAAACCAGGCAAAAAAAAAAAAAAAGAAGAGTCAGACTCTCCATTTCTTCTTGCATGCCTATTACCCTCCCCAGCCTGTGGTCCCTCTCGTTTATAAATCCGCTAGTTACAACAGGCAAGGATGGTGAACACTTCCAGTGCTAGGCTGGCAAAGGCTCAACACATACCCCTGAAATACTGCCCAGGCATCAGAGCTTCCCACATCACAGTGTAAATCTGAGCCTAACAAATCTGTTTCTTGACTTCAGCAATAGCCCCCACCACTGGGGTGCAGAAGTCCAGAAGACAAGGGCCCTGGTGTGTATGTCCCAAATACTGACAGACAGACAGCTGCAAAGCCAGCCAAGGATTATTTCTCACACACTCTGTGAAAGAACAGAATCTGGCTCGAGAGGAAAGGCAGCACTTTTTTGGGACAAATGTCCTTCYGCATAGTGGAGATAAGCACAACACAATACAGCTCAAGAGCAGGAATGAGCTCAAGAAGTGGGCATAGACTGCAGGGGAGGGACAAAGACAGCCCAAGACCCCCAGAGTCCGCTGATCTGTTTCCAGAAAGGTGTAGAAGAATGCACTGTSCATGATAACTCATTTGTATAGAAGGAAAGACACTTAGCTCCAGTGTTTTATTTAGATAGAAAAAACTATCTAAATAAAGGTACTCCCCAAAGCAAGGTTGAATGTGAGGTCCAGGACATTGGACACTCCACTAGCTGGATCAACACTGAAGCTGGAACTGATMATCTCTCTTTCTTCCTTTCTTTCTCTCTCTCCCTCTTTAACACATCTCCCATTCTCTCTGTTATCTCTTTACTGAAATCCARCTGCTGTGTGCTTATAGGAGGACATCAAGAGCTACCTTTTAACAATTGCCATGCCACATTTGTAATTTACTAATAAAACTTTTTAAATTTTTGTGGAGTCTGACTTTAGCCATTCACTTCGACCATGAGTATACGGTGATCTCTTCTCCTTGAGGGTGGGATGTCACCTGGATGTCACCTTACTGGACTGCACATCCCAACCCAGAAATAACACAAAACCCCTTATTACTTCACATTTTCATTTATAAAGCAACTTTTACTAACACATCTTACATTATTTTAAAATTCTGTACAAGAGTAACAACCTAAGTAACAAATTCTGGAGAAAGCTGCTGCAAGTACAAGCCATATCAGAATACACAACCTGCAGTACATTTGGTCTGTAAATCTTTATTAATTGTCACTATCAAATGCCATATGTTTTCCTGAAGATGCTTCAGTTAGTCTGTTGTTAAATGTGAGACGACAAAATACATATTCATTGTGGTTTTAAATGAACAGGCAAATGGTAACAAATTATTTTGGGCTTCAGGGAATCATTTATCCTGGAAAAGACCTTCAGGATCATTGAGTRCAATGGTAGTACAACCACACTGTACCTCTTTACTCCTGCTCTGCCCCCTCACCCTGCTCAATTTCAAACATGTGTGAAGGGAAGACTACATCAAACCACCTTGGTAACACGAGAAGTTTAAAGACCTTGCAGAACATGGGGGAGAGCAATATTAATTACACATTGACTGTGCTAGTAACTTATTTCCTCTGGAAAGGCCCGCATAGTTTAAAAAGTGACAAAATCATTGCAAATGTCCATATCACACACTGCATTCCCACAGCTTCACTGCCTCCAGGCTGTCTTGCTTGCTACAAGTCCTTTTGATCTTACAGGGACCATGAGCAGACCCTTCTCTCCAGGGTAACATGGCAGCAGGTAACAGCTCACTATCCTGGCTACCAGCAGTAATACCCAGCAAGGCTGCGTTTGCCTGAAACATGAGGAATATAAACAAAATCTATTTTCAAATGAAAAGTTTCAAAAATCTTTCCTAGGCAGTCTAAAATATTATTTGCATTGCAGATGCAAAAATTCAGCATAGTTTGCAAAAAGAAAGACAAGACTGCCAGAGCAAACTGGAGAAGGTGTCCCCAGAAGAGTTTTGGCTCTGTAAAGTACTGGAAATGGATTTCAAGATGCTTACTAAAGTGAGAAGGACCTGAACACAACAGAGCAGAATTGGCTTTGCCACTGAAACAACATAGCAAGCATGGCTCAACAAGCTGATCCTCTCCTCCGGCTTGACACAGTGATCACAGAAAAGGAATAAAGACATGCCTCCTTTAGAAGAGCCTGTGGCTCTCTGCCATTTGTCTGATAAACAATCAAGATAGATGCATGTGTTATTTAGATGTAATACTGGGAAGAATAATCTCCCAATATGGATAAAATKAAAGATCTTGACCAAAGAGTAACTAGGCACAGGATCTCTATATCTTCTATAATATTGTGGATTCATTACAGCAGCAAAGGCTGCACATTTTACCAGCCACAGAAGCTTATACAAATACTACCATTTAAAAAAAAAAACACGACATCATAACAGTAATTAAAAACATGCTTTATGTTGGCCCAAAAAAATTGTATAGCCTTGAATGACCTGTGTCAGAAAAAGGCAAGAAAAAAACTGACTGTTTTTTCACAAAAAAAACCTTGAATTGCTTCATGGGAGAACACACAGCAAAAGAGCAGTGAAATACATTCAAATTCCAGGCCAAGTGCCAGGAAAGAAATTACAAATTCCCTTCTCTAGATGCAATGAATAGTTTTCAGACAGATAATCGTATTTACCCCCAGAAATCTGAGCAGGGGTTAATATATGATTGGAAGTCAGTGAAAAACACAGGCAGTTGAGCACATGAGTCATGCAGGACTGCAGAAATACTCCTCTACATGCAGGTCACCTGAATTTGAGGAAAGAACTTCCTAGAGTGGGTTCCACTGAAGCAACATGCACATCTGTGGATGTCAACCACACAACCAATTTTACTGGGAGAACACCCAATTGAGGTGTCTTAAGTCTTCATTCAGACAATGCTACTATTCATGACAGCAAAATTAAGCAAGTACACAAGAATAACATGACATGGAGGATAAATGAAACAGGCTCTGAAGTGCTTTTGTCAGAGATGAACATTTAACTGTCTTAAATCTAGAAAGTGGAAACCAAAGCACTACGTTTCCCATATTCTGTACAAGGAGGATCAGGCATGTGGAAGCTAGAGAATAATGCCAATATGTTTAAGATGTGGTCCTAAAGCAGCCACTAAGAATAAAGGCACTTGTCATTCTGACTTGGATCTTTGAGCTGTAAGAAAATATCTGTTTTCAAAGTGGGATTCACAGTCCTGTCTCTACCCCTGAAGAAGGCACCTTACCTACTATACAAATGAATATACAAACAGAAATAAGTTGGTGTCTCATTTTCTTGAACAGTACACCAAAAAAAAGTACTTTCCTATCATTCCATGATAGTTTGGTTTCACTTCCCACCTCTGCACATGCAGGCTAGGCGTGTAACTCCCAGCTCCCAGTGCAGGGGGACAGATTCCTCAGAGGCAGATTTTCTCAGCACCGCTGGATATTTTCAAAGCCCCCAGAAAGGCTGAGAGTCATTGTCTCTGAAAAGATAGGACTACGCAGAATCCTGCCTTGTGACAATTTCACATAAAATAAAATAGTTATCTTTGGTGTCTTGCAGCAAGGGCAAAAACCTAGACACCCTCCTCAGTGCAATCACTAAGATAGAGTCATGTTCACAAGCTCTCCACAGCCTAATTACCCTTTAAATGCTGTGCCCGTCAGCTTCAGCAGGAGGGGACAGTCTGCAATGCATGTCCCAAAGGAGTGGAGCCCGCCCTTGGCTCCTGACTGACTCCAGGCATTCAGGGGAAGGGCAGGTGCTCCATGCCTGGTCTGAAAGATTCCTGAGCAGGGATCAAAACTGACCTTGGGTCTTGCAGGGAACTTAAAATATAAAAATGGTCATGTACATGAAGGTACATGACACTTCGACTCTCCATTCCCAAGAGCAGGACAGTCTGCACAGCTCCCCTGCSTCCCATGAGGAGCAGCCCCAAGCCAGGAAACCAACAGCCTGATGCTTCAGAGGGGAAAGGAAGCAGTTGAAATTTCATTGTCCAGATGAGCTGGAGCACCCAGCACAGGTACATGACTTCACTTGCGGAGTGGGCTGGGAGAACCCTGCTCTGTTTCCTGCCAGGCACTGCAAGCCTCTTGCTCCCTGAGACTGAACCCCTGCATGAATGAAATGAAACCATGAACTGCATGCCCTAGACCTGCATGCCAGGATCATGTTCAGACACTACCAGAAAAACACACAGATCACAAGCTTAGATCATGAGCCTGGTGTCCCCTTGCAAAGGCATTCCTCCCACCACATCAGTGCACAGAGTTTCAATCCCCCAAGCACAAACGAACCCTTGAACACTACCACTGAAATATGCACGTGTACCCAAGAGCACCTTCTTGCTCCAACAGCCCTGCATWCAAGGTCAGCTGTGTGGACAAGCCACGTGTGCTGGTACACTATTAACAGGGATGGAAAACAAGGTGCAATTYCGTGGCATGCACACACCACATCTGTATCCAGCGCTTTACAACCGCAGAAGTATTAAAAAAAACAGCTGTCTAAACAGAAGTGAATGAAGGATAGATGCACAGCCACAGCATTTACAAATAAAACGAGTCCTTGTTTGAGATGGAGAAAATGCACACTGTGCAACYTGCAACTCATTTCATCTTTGCAAATTGCATCCATACACACTGCAGAAACTCCTGTGCACTTGGGAAATACTGGATTTCCCCRTGAAAAAAAACCAGTTAAAAGTTGAGGAAGTGTCTTGTACATTACAGCACACATTCTGTACACATTTTTCCCTCTAAAGTAGGTCAAAGTCTCAGTCTGTGTAAAAATTATTCTCTTGGCTTACTGAATTTAATGACACTGATGCATCTTACTTCTCTGATTTGGTTTTTCTCCTTTTCTGAAACACCAAGAAAACCCAATTCTATGAAAGGAAACAAAAATCACACTTTTTTTGCCATTCTTTGTCTTCATTTTTTTTGCTTTTATGTGTAGTAAATTTTTTTCTTTCCTCATTAAAGCTTCCGATCATAATTCTTCCTTACATAAACTTACTGGTCAGTGCCTTTCAGCCTCCTTAAAACCCCCCTTTCTCACACTGACAGCATTTATAATCCTTACCTCCCAAAGACTTCTCCACAAAGAAGGATAATGTCTAACTGTGCAAAGACAGTAACTGATACTTTTCATTTTCTTCTCCAGAACGCAAAAGATTTTTCTCTTCATTCTGACAAGGGTTTTTTACATAATATTTTTTTTTTTAAAAAGTGTTATTAGCTTATGTTGACGCCTAGTTGAATCACCAAATTCTCCCTAATTAAAATTTATGGCAACCAGCAGAGCTTTTTGCAGCCGCTGCCACTCCATGCAGCTACAGGGTGTCAGAGCTGTTCAGTGAGAGCTACACATACATCAAGGGGAMAAAGAAAAAAAGCCTTAAGAGAGTAAAGAAATTAAAACAATTATAAAGAACTGTGCATAATCTGGAGAAAAAATACTTTCTTTCTACCTATCAAATTCCAGCTCCATTATCTAAAAAGGCATAAAAAACAGTGAGGTGGACTTTTGATAGAAAGAAAATCTACCACACACAAGCTGTTTATAGAGCCACCTGCACAGAAGCAGAAAAGAAAAGGAGGAAGAACTATAAAGCAAGAGTCATTTAAAAGAAGATAGCTTTTTCTACCTGGTTTGGATGCCCTTCTTCGAATCCTCATTTTTGGTAAGGAAGGCCAAGAGTAATTAAAAGGTGAATCAGAGTCTGAGTCCATTTTTGTGCTCAATAAACAGAGAGCAGATTCCCAAAGTTGCACTTTGTTGTTCTCAATAGCAAGTGAAGCCTAAGAGTGATGTGGAATAAACGAATGGACAAAGAAGGATCAAATTGCCCACTAAACACAGGGGAGGGAGAAGCTGTAAATGTTTGCTCTCTTCAGGCGTCCAGGCATGTAGACAGAGCAGGCTGCAAATATTAAAGCAGAAGCACGGAGGTTAAAGCATGAGAGCTTCGAGCTGAGCTGTTGCATCGTGGTCCAGAGCTATTTGAAAGGTCACTGTGTGCCAATGAATCATTAACTCACCTTTCCATTTTGATGCAAATGAAAACAATAGGAGCTGTGTAAGGAATGAGAAAATACTTCTCGAAAGCAAATAAACTATTGCAAAGCTTTGTTTCCATGTTAAAAGTCAGGTTTAGAAGATCCCAAATTAAGGTCAGGCAAAACGCAGGAATTAAAGAAGCCAAAGTTTAACACCAAGTGAAGAGCACTAATCAATCTGCTGAGCTCTATATCACTCCAGAGCAGTACCCCTCCTCTCAGCGTTTACAATTTTGGCAGATCTTGGGATGTTGCAGCTGGAAAAGCAGTGATAACCCGCTCAAAATCTGTCACTTCCATCTTTCTGGCTAAAATGAGCTTAAAGTTTAAGTGTCATGAAGAAAGATTACACTGTCATTAGAGGAGCATTTTTCCAATAATATTTAGTCTGCACAGTAATTTCTCCTTCACACAGTCACCAAGTTAGACAGTGAATCATCARGATTTTGTAGAGCTGGCACCTTTACAGCTCTGGTCTAACCTCACTGCAATGCACAATACAGCTAGTGACTAATTTACAACAAATCTTCCATTCTTATACAGTCTCCCTGAACAACTCATAGGCAATTAGTATTCAGTAGGAACTCATTATCCCTTCCCCCAACATCTTTACGCTACACAAACTACATTTTTTTACAAACAGGCTCATATGTGGCTATACAAGAGCTAAAACAAAAATAACATGTCCACTGTTTCCTAACCAACTCCAGCAAACATTTCTTTTAGTTGCCCCACAATGCATGTGGTTTTGTATTCCACATAAAGGAGGAGAGGGAATGTGGATCAGCTTAAATGTCAGGTTTTGGAAGATGATGACATTTGAGCTTGTTAACATTCCTTACTTCACTTCAATTATTTTTCAGGCTGCTAAGGTCTGCAGCGCTACTTCTGTATTATGTTTCAAGTGATTCCTTGATCCACATTTCACTCAGAGATAACAATGTATTTGTTGAAGAAAATAATGCAATTCAAATGCAAATTTAATTCAAAACCCATTAGAAAAAATATCTATCACATTTTCAGGGATAAAATAATGATACAAGCCCTTCATAAATGCACAAATTACATAAAACACAGTTGAAACGCATCATTGTTCTGGCCTTCCCTTAACTGAAGTTCTGCCAGCTTTGTTAGGCCTGAAAAGAATAATTCACCCCAGACGCTGGAAGYCTTAGACTTTCACTTTAAATATTAGACACTCACAGAGACTTTGTTTGATTTATATGTATAATTAACAGCCCCAGGGAATTACAACAGACAATGGAAAATACAGGGAGGATATAAATCTGTGCTTTAAGCATCCACTTCAAAATATCTCCACTCCCTGGAATGTCAGGTTCAAATTGCACTGATAAATCCCCTGGGCATACAGGAACGCAGGCACTGACGTACTCCTTCCCACCTGCACACCACCCAGGGCACTCGCCTGCCTCCCACCATGGCCACAGTTTGAGAAAAGGATAGGGCACAGCATATCAATGAGGGAAAGCCTCCTCAACTGCTCCAACAGAGAAGATTTGCCCTCTACACAGCAATTTTCCCTACACAAATGTGCCCTCCAACTCATTGGATATCTTTAACACCAATTATAATAAAAGTTTTCAYTTCAGACACATACAAATGGCAGTTCTCCATGGACAAAAGTCAACTTATATTTAGAGAGCTGTTTGTTTTACATGAACTTAAAATTTCTCACCATTCGATTTCAGTTATTCTGTTGTTTTACTTTATGAGAAATAGTAAATTTTGCTTACTTCTATGATATATCCATTTGCATCTTTTCTGCAAATCTGGCCTTTTTCGCTTATACATTCAACTAAAAGAACTTGCTCTCACTGCACTTCCTGGACTTCCATTTAATCCAGGGAGGGGTAACTAGAGCTGAACAAAACACTCACCATGCGGAAATGCAGCCAATGTATTTAATGGCATTAAAATATTTTACATGCCGAGACATTTACTTTCCTGAGTGACCTCTGTTCACTGCATAAATGTTTTCACKGACTGCTCAGTTAATGCCTGTCCTCCCTCCCTTAAACAAGCCCTATTCATTTAACATTCTAATAAAAATGAGTAATTAAGATTGATAAATAATTTTTCAACAGCAGCCCTATTACATAATACTTGGAGAATCCAATGATTAAATTTCTGCAATATTAAAACCCTTGATCATGCACTCCTGCTATCTATCATCTACTTTTTGTCCAAAGCTTTTCACCTGCATACGGCAACCTTTCTTGAGTAAGATCTTGCATGGGAATTTGTAAATGGTAGTCTGAAAATGCAGATTGATGATCAACCTTACCCCAGTTTTCGAAGGGTTAATTGAATATCATTCATATTACTTGCTCTGTTTGGGCCTTGTCAAAGACCTTTTTTTTCTTATTTGTAAAACTCCTTTATGCAACCATGAAAGATGTCATGCTGTTCTTTGTCACAAAGAAGGGCTCTGCCCTACAGGCTTTGTCTAAAAATATTTTGTTTCTTGCACTTTGTAGGATGATCCAACCCACTTTTCACCTGCCATCCTTTCCTTCTAAAGTGGTGGCACTTGCAGGCAGCTGCCACAGAGATCTGGCTGCTTATGACATAAAGGTGCTTTCTAGCTGGAAAATATTAACCTCACTTTACACAGAAAAAAATATTTTCCATTATATATACAAAGGTACAGATGTGAAGATATGGAATAAATAGGAGATTTACTTGTACCAGCTAAGGATAATGCTTTTGATAAATAATATAATGCCTTAAATTCTTTCAACCAATGCTTACCAAAATACTTCCACAAAATCTAAATGTTTTTCAGAGATAGCACAGTGTGTTGTCTAATGTCTGATCATTCCTGTGGCTCGTGGCAAGACAGAGGGAAGCAGAGGAATGTCACCACATTCTCAGACTCCACGGAATAGCGCTGTTGCTTCCCCAGCACACTTAGAGAATAGCACCATGGTACCAAGTGGGTGGGCTCCCTTTCCCCAAACACTGCTAAACCCCACAGCTGAGAGCAGAAGGAGACGACCCTGAGCCAGTGTCCCTCCCCAGGTGGGCAAGGGACTTACATGGGATGGAAAGTGTGGTTAATGASTCCAGAAACAGGGCTGGAGAGGGTCACTTTTGGACACAGGTAGGATGAGAGCTGTCTGAACAAAAGCTCTGCCAAACACACCCTGCTCAGTTTGCTCTAGGAAGAGTGTCCCCCGATACTAGCAATGAAATTTATTTTTCCCAGCTTGATTCTGCCCCAGGACCAGCAGARCCTGCAGTCGCTTCCCAAAATACATCGAAGGATCTGACAAGATTAAATGTTATAGAAAGGGTCAGGTGATCTTCGCCACCAGTCTCTGTGATCCACAGGCACACATGGCTTCCCTACCTTTTTCACTCCATTGTTCTTACTAATTGGAGCATATCTTCCCACAGAGAGGATCAGACAAAATATCTACACAAACTGTCTGCTTTACTCTACATTAGACTTAACAACTGCATTGAAATCCCAGCAAATATGAATCAAAGGCCACTAAAAGCAAAGCACTACCAACCAGATCCCAGGCACCAAGCACCCTCCAACTGCAACACTCTTCCCATCTGCCCACAATGATGCAATGGTTATGCAGACTGTGGCTGTCATGATTGTCATGTCTTGAAGGGTGGCTTGTCACAAAYGTTATTTTTACCACTTCTCTACTAAAGACCTAGGTCTTTCTTACAAAAGTTTATACAGGAGTAGTCAGAAAAGCTTTGCCACATCACTCTTCTCTCCCTCTCCCAAATCATTGATGAATCAATCAATCATTGAAGAGCAAAGAGCCAAGCCCAGATCCTTGAGATGYTAATTGATAACCTCCTCCACTTGTTCTTATGATCTTCCTTATTGCTGAACTTCTGATGGATGATTCAAGCATTTGGTTTAAGGAACTGRCCCATTATTTTCTTATTTTGTAGACAGAGGCCTTCCACAAGTAGAAAACAGTTTGGGATTTAAGCAGTTCAGCAGTGGATTTCAAACGGTGCAGGCAGGCAGCCATTGCCCATCATCACTGCCCAATATTATGSCAGTATTTGTTGGATTCCATCTCCCTCTGCAGCACCCTGTGCAAGCATCCACACTGCATCAGCCACAGGGGATCACAGCTGGGAAGGGCAGGGAGCAGGGCAGGGGAAGGAAGAACGGGGAGTTTCTTGCACTGTGTTGCAAACAGAATCACAGAACCCAGGATGGGTCAGGTTGGAAAGGACCACAATGGTCACCTGGTCCAATCTCCTGCCCTAGCAAAGCCGTCCCGGAGCACATGGCATGGACTGYGTATAGATGGTTCTGGAATATCTCCAGTGAAGGAGACTCCAAAGTCTCTGGGCAATCTTTACTGGTCCCCCAAACAGTAAAGAAGTTCTTCCTCTTATTCAAGTGTAACTTCCTGTACATCAGTTTCTGTCCTTTGCCTCTTGTCTCATTGCCTGGCACCACTGAGAAGAGCCTGGTCCATCCTCTTGACAACTACCCTTTAATTAACAACCCACACATTAATGAGGTACATGCCTGTTTTCCACTGTTTCAACTCTGACAAAGCCACAGAGTGAAGGATCATAACCATTCAGCATCACAGAGCCTCTTCCACCCACTACAAGCTTAAATCAGCAGATTTTGCACAACCCGAACAACGYAGTCGTGGGTGAGTTAGGTGTCAAACCTAGCACACTCTGACATGGGATTAAATGACCCTGTCCCCCAGCCCACAAACCTCCCGCCCATGTCCCCCTCAGGCTTCATTCTTCACTCTTCCATTCCTACAGCTGATGACAAAACTCATCCACAATAGGACCCTCTTTTTCCATTACACATTCCAAGCGTCTTCTGTAGMTGTTGCGTAGACAGATAACACAAATATTAATGAAAAATATAAGATAACAATACAGTACTAGAAATTTGGGT